GGGGGGGGATGTAAACAAACACGATGATATCAATATCACTAGATATCTTGGTTTGCACTTGCTTGCTTAGCGGGATTTAGGTTGGTACTACCTCCTACTGAGGTGACAATCGGCATGGCAAACTTAATATGACAGAAACATGCAAGCACCCGTCTGATGAATGATGAATTGTACCAGTAGAGGTAGATAGGTAATGAACAATTGAGAAGGAACTGCTGTTTCTTATTTATTATTCGTAAGATAAGTAGATTATCAAGATAATAAATAGAAGATATAGTGAATTTGAGGTATGGCATATGATATGAGAGCACACATACCGGTACTTCTCACACCCACCTCCTCACTTTCCGCCAAATCCATGACAGGAAACTACAACCAAGGAAACCCACCAGACTAGTCAAATATGAAAAACCTTATTACCTTGAAAGTGCTGGTAATGAATGATGTACAAGAGCTAGAGTGAGATCTTCTTTACCCAATGCGGAATAGCTGAATTCCCTTTTCCCCGATCTCGCGGATAGACGCGATGCCATGCCATAATAGGAATTGGAATGGGGGAATGCTGTTGCCCATAAGCCTTTCCATACCTTTCGATGAAATTCGATGTTTTGAGAATTAGAACTCGACTTAAAGAGCGTCATCGGTTGTGGTAGCTATAGGTAGATAGATAATTATACAAAAAGATGATGCGGGTTGGTAACTGGTACAAACAAATTATTTGAAGGTTTTAATACCGTAGGATGTTGGGTTTTTCCAATTGCCAAGGTAGGTGGTACTCATCATCACATGTCAACTCAACCAATAAACAACTTTTTTTCAACTTCGGTTCCGCCCCTATGAATTTTGGTTCATTTTATCTATCATTCAATTATACACTGTGAAGTAAAGTCCCTTCCTATTGATAATCGTAATGGTTATTGCTGCGCCTAAAGATATATGTACAAAAGCTATCTCATGTTTACCGACACAAGAAAAAATACCTTTCCCCAGTTTTCTCACCTCATGACAGCAATGGAGCCAAACTGCCAAACTGCCAATACTTTTTTGATATATGCTTGTAGCCAGAACATTTGCTGCAAGACGTGAGGCTATTGCGAAAACAAATTTCAAATTCCCCAGACGCCAATACTGTAGAATCCATTTGCGTACAGACTCAAACGCCAGATTTATGTAAGAAAAGAGTATGCACCAAACCCAACTGAACAAGAAAGAAATCACTCAACGCCTCGAGAAGCATCGACATAAACCAAAGCCAGACCATCATTGACCAGAATAATCTGTGGTATATTTGGTAGTCGAGTCCATAAGATCATTCGTCGTAAGTACCATTCGTTTCCCAACCAATTAAAATGCAAAGAGTGTATCCAGGGAAGAGCACGATGAAGGTAGTAATATGAAAAGTATCATATGTTCTATGAAGATTCTAAAGGTTGAGTAACATCAATACCAAAAAGAGATGCATGTTTCTTAGCCCATTGTCTGGTAAGGATCGAAGCTAGTAGAATGTTAGTCTCACTCAAATAAGATGCTTTGGAGTTACATACCCTTCAAAAACTTCTTACTAGCATACTTCTTGAAGAATGCCTCGTGGGTAACAGGGCGAGCAAGGTAGTCAACCATCAATTGGAAGACAGGTTCAATCTCATCCTCACTGTAACCGGAGTAGTGAGTCAACATTGGATCCCATTCACCCTTCTCAAGGATAAGCCGGGCGAGATACATGGACGCAGCAGCGACGTGACTAGGCAGGTACTTCATGAATCGGTGATCAAGAAGACTAATTTCCATCAAGTACTTGCCCAAAGTACGGGTCTGAATGTCGTAGTCATCAGCCTTGGAGATACGTCTTAAGAAGTTCATGGGGTTGGGGTAGCTCAAGTCATAGTTGAGAGCGCTGAGAACATATCGTTCGGCACTGAGGATCTCTACTTCGGTGAAGCCATCATCGGCAACGTGACGGAAGTTGGCAACGTGTGGTGAGAGAACTTCTTCATACTTGGAGGCGATGAACATGGCAGTAACACCAACAAGTTGGAGACGGTCAAGCTGAACAACCTTTGTGGAGAGGAAGCGATCGATGATGTTAACAGCAAGGAACAAGGTTTCCGGGAGAAGGTGAAAGCGTGTGTGAACTTCAATAAGCCAGTCGACAAGAATACCACGCATCTTCCATTCCAGATCCTCTTGATGTGCCATGTACTTTTCGTTGGGCTTGGTAGCGATCTCCAACTTCTTCAAGTATTCGAAAATTTCAACAACATACTCGGCCACCATCAAAGGATCATCAAGGTCTTCGGCATCCAAGTCGCGTACACCTTCGGCGAACTCAACTTTAACAGATTCCTTTGGCTCTGGGTCGATGATAGCCTCTGCCTCTGCTTCTGTCTCATTCTCCTGCTCCTCGACAACTTCGGCGTGTTTTTTTGCTTCAATGTGGACCTTCTTTCGGGATGGCTGTTCATCTTCAACGAGTGTCTCTTCTTTGACAGAGGTTGCTATTGGAGCTGCTGCAGCAGTGGTCTTTCTCTTCATTACTCCCGATCCAGCAGCTTTACTCGATGACTTCTTGTTTGCATCCTTAGCTCCGAGGGCTGATCGTGTAGTGTGCTTGGTGACGCCAGTTGGCTGTGAAGCTTTCGAGACTAGACCACTTTTGGCAGCGGGCTTCTTTCCCTCGACTGCATCTCCTCCCTTGGCGACGTTGCTTACATCTCCCAACGCGGCTCGCTTTCGGAGGGGTTGTGTATTGATAGTCGATTTCTTGCTTACAAGTGGCTTCTTAACAGCACCGGTAACTTCTCCTGTGGTAAAGGCTGCAGACTTCGATCTGGTAAGACGAGTTGTGACACCGGCAACATTTTCATCGTTCTCGTTTGTCGGGGCCCGGCGGCTCGTTGCTCGACTCTATGTGCATAAATGATTAGCATTGGCCAATGAAATGACCAATTGAACGAATTTGTAGTCTTAGAATCGATCTGTGGTCTCTGGGGTACATACAACTGGCATATTTGTCGATGTGTTGTTGTGTTAACTATTATGTGTGGAGTGTTGTGGAGAGGATGTTGGGTGGGTCGCTGGAAAAGATGGTCAGCAAAACGCGGTATAGGTGTTGGAAGCGCGTGATGAATGTTGAAAGCGACGACATGAAGACGCGACATAACGACCAGAGCAAGATGTATGAAGCTGAAGGTATACATACATGAAGATGAATTGAATCTTCAATTGATCCCGACGTGTATTTGACGATAGGATGAGTTGAATCGTGTGATATATCAACTTTGTTGACAGATGAAGAATTGAACTCTTTTTTTTTGGATTGTACACGAAACCGAAGAACTTGAACGATAGAACAAACAAGAAACCGAGTCGGATCTAATGCTGGCAAATACCTAAAAGGTTATCAAGAACATGAAAAGGTCGGGAGGTACTGTTTTGATATGGTAGGATGAGTTGATGTTTATGGGTTGTCGATGGAGGATGGAGGATGGAAGTGGAAGATGGAGAATGATGAATGAATGAAGTTGAATTGTGTGAGGAAGTCCTTTCTAAAGAGGTTGTCAGAGCTTCCAGTCCAGGTTGCCAGGCACTCGCTTGTTGTGGGCAATTATTCTTTCCTTCCTTTCGCGATTACGCTAGTACAAGTATTTATATTAAGAAGCAAGGGTCAAAGGGTTAATACGAAACTCCAATTGAAGTGTTTTAGTATATTTATTCTTATAAACTGATCAAAATGAGTATTTTTATATATTTAGTAATTACCTAGTAGTATTAAGTATTTATTAATGAATTGAATTATACCTTTGGACTTTGGTCAGTCATAACAAGATCATATGGATCCACAATTGAAGTGAGTTAAACGCCAAAAGTTTGTTGATAGTAAGTTAGTCCTAGACAACCACCAAGCAACCATAATGGTTCTAATCCTTCTTTGGTTTCGGGTGGCTTGATGCCGCGTTTTCCGTCTGTATGTGGCTGGTGATATCTTTATCTTTTTTCTAGAGCTGCACCTAGGAAAATAAAATAACTACCTGTACGTACTACCCACACTTTTCTTCAATTGGCTCGAAATTGGGTCACTTTATAATATCAACTTCTTCACATATAAATACATATATTTCAGTGAGTATTTATTGCTTGCCATTTCCATTTCCATTCTCATTGCGTTCATACAATTTTCGCTTCAATTTCTCATCTGAAGTATCTAAAAGTATTTGAAAATTTATTCATTTCTGCTACTTTCATCACCCCGTTCATTGCATCGAAGACTCAAACTAAACTTAATTGGGAGATAGCTCTTTCGGAAGAAGTTTGAGGTACGTTCAAGCACCAACGACATCGACCTTCAAAACTCCCAACCACTGTTTCCGGAGGCCCTCGCCGTGGCGAGAAGATCAATCAAATTGCGGTCATTAATTCGATATAACATACATTATGTTTCAACCCAGGATATTTGCGCGACAATGTCCAAGGGCAACATGCAATTACCTACCTATCCTTCGATCCTTTCCTCGCACATACGCAACAGTCGTCAAACCGGCACAGCCCGAACTACCTGCAGCACAAGCTATAACGGCAGGCTTTGCACCTCCTGTATCCTCATCAGATAGTAGCAATTCTACTTTTGCTATGCGAACATACAAGCCAAGAACACCTGGTGTCAGACATTTAAAAAGACCTATAAACGATCATTTATGGAAAGGACGCCCATTTTTACCTTTAACTTTTTCCAAGAAGGGTCATGGAAAGGGAGGAAGAAATAACAGTGGTCGAGTCACTGTTAGACATCGAGGTGGTGGTCATAAGAGGAGAATTCGTACTGTGGATTTTATTCGAATGACACCGGGAGTACATACAGTGGAACGTATTGAACACGATCCAGGAAGAAGTGCACACATTGCATTACTGAACGAAGAAGCCACTGGTAAGAAGAGTTATATCGTTGCCGCAGAAGGCATGAGAGCTGGAGATAAAGTACAAAGTTATCTAGCCGGTATACCCAGAGATTTATTGGAGAGTATGGGAGGATTCGTAGATCCTGGTGTGTTGGCTGCAAAGACTGCTTGGAGAGGAAACTGTTTACCATTGCACATGATACCCATTGGTACAACTGTCTACAATGTTGGATCCGCGAAAGGAAGAGGTGCCGTTTTCTGTAGAAGTGCAGGAACACATGCGGTCGTGGTCACGAAAGATGACGAGACGTCCAATAAGGATAAGGGGCCAAAGTTTGTCACTGTGCGATTGCAGAGTGGTGAGGTGAGAAAAGTTAGTATGCATGCATGCGCAACTGTAGGCATTGCCAGTAATCCTAATCATCAACATCGACAACTTGGTAAAGCTGGTCGTGCAAGATGGTTGAATATTCGACCAACAGTTAGAGGTCTTGCCATGAACGCTGGTACGTTTCTCATGCTTGAAATTCAGCCTAATTCATGAATACTCACACTTAATAGCCGACCATCCACACGGAGGAGGAAGAGGTAAATCGAAGGGTAACGTCGACCCTGTCAGTCCATGGGGTCAACCGGTATGTATACCCATTCTCTAATCTCGAAGGTGTACACTGACATCACTCTACCTACAGGCCAAAGGAGGTCACAAAACTAGAAAGGCTCGCAAACCTAACAAGTGGGTTGTAACTGCCCGCGAAAGAAATCACGGAAAGAGAAGAACAAAGTAGAGGCTCAATTATCATAACCTACGTTGTGTCCAAGATGTATATATAGGATCCTGTACATACTATGTACGATATCAAATACAGAACGGAAAGATATGCCTACTAATTCTTCACATTTGACATGTTAATCTCTCATGCTTCCGATCTCTCTCCGCTCCCTCATCCTAACCATCCTCTTCGAAACACCCTATCACCACTCCACTCTCTCACCCCAAGTACACTGCTTCTACACAAATTCCCTACATTCATTCTCATCCACCCACTCTCCTTTTTCCTTCCGCTCCTCTTTCTTTCTTTCTTTCTTTCTTTCTTCCATCAAGCCTCCATCCTACCCTTCTCTATCTTTTAAAGCCTCATCCAGACCTTAATCCAAGGTCCATTATCTATTCGCCCATCACTCCGTTGAGAAATCCGCAACAGTCGAGTGTACATTATCGGATGATCCCCCTTTATCATAATTTACCATATACACATGAACCTAGAATCTTTACCCCAAATCTGGTCTTGTGGAACAGGTAGGATTTCGTATCATATCACTCACTATAAAACACAAACGATAAGACGACAGATTTTCTTTCTCATTATTGAACTAATTACCTACAGTAATGGTACCCATCCCATCCCATCCCATCCAAAACACAACATAACATCTCTTGCTCTCTCCTCTCTACCCTACCCTCCCAATTCTCCCCCTACTCTCCCATCTTTCCCCCAAGTGCCCGAGCACCCACTCACCCACCCAGTCAATCGGTATAGACATAGGAATATACATGTAAACAATCAAAGTAGAAATGTAGAGACATCAATCCAAGTTAGACGCGAGCTTCGGGTTGCATATCTTATCTTGAATCTTGAATCATAATTCTTAAATCTTAAATGTCAGTTCCATTACTCGTATTATCATCATCATGAATTATCATGATGAATTATCATGCAATACCAATATCAATATCAATATGATGAAAACCATACAAGAAAGCTTGCTGAGATTTGAAATATCATTATATTAAATTACACACCTCCCATCTCCCATCTCCCATTCATCTATCCATCTATCCATTACACCCACACACCCTACCCACCTCATAAACCCCAGAATTCAATCCCAAACCCGAGAGAAGAGGTTTCCAAGAACAATTCGTCATCATACACAGATACCAATATATGACCCGGAAGTAAAACGTGTTGCCCCTAACGCCAACGCCAACGCCAACGCCAACGCCAACGCCAATGCTAATAATCCATGGGAATATCTTTGCTTTCCGAAGATCCCTTGATTTCCTTTCAAATTCCTCCTATACTATTTGTATTCCTGTGTAATGTAACCCAAAGTCTCATATCACATTATATCCGCAATATTCCGAACGCTTCAGATATATCACCAGCACCCAGACCCCAAACCCAAACCTAAACCCATTACTTCACTTCATTATGACTCCAAACCCCAAAGTCCATCCCTCAAGAACTCCCTTCCCAAATATCCATCGGATCCATGTGACCCAGCCCCATCAAATGACCAAAAACGCCTTCTCCCAAAGGCGTCAATCCCGTATTCGCGGGCCGCCCCCAAGATCCCGGCGTCGTATATGTTCTCCCGGGAGTTTCCGGCATACTGAATGCGTTTGACGTCATCGCCGTACCTGCTGGACGAGTATTATAATCAGATCTCGATGAGAAAAACTCATCCATCATGAGATGATGAGATTCACGATTTGTATTTGTATTCGGCGCTGCGTTTGCTTGATAGGATCCGTTATTCGTGCTATTTTGACCATGGGGTGGATTTGCTAAGCGACTATCGGATGGCGTGGTGGAATTGGGTGTTGGGTGGCTGGAGGTGTTGCCGATATTGGGAGATAAACCAGTTCCGGCACTGGTACTGGTTCCTTCGGTGCTGTAGGTATTGCTGTTTGAGTCTCTGCTCTGATTAACAAGTACTCCCCGTGCTAAGTCTCGAGCTTGTGGATGTTCCTTCAGCGGACGCCAGTTATTACGTTCGATGTCGAATTCCTGTGGGAATGAGTTGGTTCTGGAGCTGGGCGATGTTCTCCCACCCGATTGTTCCATATCTGCGAGAACTTGAGGATTAGTCGGACTTTCACCTCCCATTTGAAACGCGTTCCCACCCCTATCTTCCGAAAGCCGCATGAGAGTACACCCGGGTTGAAAATTTAGGGCATTGAGAGATGATCCCATTTTAGGCATTCCACCCTCTTTGGAGCCCATCTATGTACATCAGCTTTGCGAATCACTAAAAGAGCAACGAATTGACGTACCAAGTTCTCATCCCAAGGAGCATCTTCGAACTTTTTATTGTTGCGCATGCCCCTGCTTTCTAAGTCGACGTCTAATTGTGCTAGAAAACTCTCTGTCAGAGGATTCTTTTTTTTTATGGCATTCATAGCATATAGGAGAAATCTCAGGGAATCGGTAATTTGAGAATCTTTTGGTACGCTAGCGAGGTACTGAACGAAGACACGAGCGGCCACGTAGAGGCAGAAGGATATGAATGGGTTCATCTGTCTATATGTTAGTCGGGCTCCATGGTATGTATTTGTAAGGGCACCTACGGTCGACAAATTCATATGTGAGATCATGCGCATGATACTTGTAATCTCATTTGCAGCAGTAATGGCTCTGCCTTTGCTTTCAGCGGCGACAGAAGCAGGTAGTCGATTATTTTCAGCCTTGAATATTGCAGCTTGGTGTAGACAGATGGTGGAAGCATGAATGTTCATGTTCAAAAATACAGTATTAGGATTGGCCATTCCATGAGGTAATCTCAAGTGAAATGGTAAAGAGAGGGACGTATTTAAGAGGATGTTGTCCATATTTCGGTGTCGCTTCCAAAAATCCCCATTTAAATCATTGTCGCGATCATCAGCATCGGAGCGATGTAGATGTAGGAGGTTTCGGCCGAAAAGTGAAGCCATCAAGACAACCCCAGCGAATGGTGATAGCTTGGAGGCGCCCTGCGGACTCATTGCTTCAGTAAGTGTTTGTGTTCGTTCTGATTTGCTCATGTCAAAAGCTTCTTCTGATGATGGTAGGTCTGATGCAATGTCCTTTTCATCTATCATCATAGGCCAGCCAGTTCCAATACTAGCGTAGCGATCTTCGCAGAAGGCGCTCCAGAAAGTTCTGCGCCTCTCCTCTCTCTCCGTCCAATCCCGGGGGGGTGGGATACACTGCTTGACATCTAAACTGGGCTTGTCGAGTCTATGTAGACCCATCCTTTGGCTCATTAGCTGACAGCCTTCTCACAGAGGGGTCTCCAGTACTCACATTTGACATAGTCTGATAGCAGCCCCAGTACTCATCCAAGCTCGAGGGAAATACATCATTTTGAATTCATAAGAAGCTAGAAGAATGTGTGATTGTGCATGTGAGACAGAAATGATGTTTTCGCCAAAACCTTTCAGTGCATCTACTTCCATATATTTTCGAGCTCGCCGGTAGAAGTGATCTTTGAAATCCATGTATTTTTCTGAAATAGAAGCTGCAAGCGTCCACATTGCGTACCGCAATGAAACTGGGGGTCGTAGATTTGGTGTACTATGAGTTGATTGTTAGACTGACGCACATTTAGTCTTGGGGTAAGGATATTTCTCACAGATTCATTGCAGCAAAGTACCGGTACTTGTGGATCATTGGAAGGGAGGGGTGGATATTATCGAAGTAGATTTGATGCCTGAACAATATAAGTTCTTGCATGATATAGCCTCTAGAGTAACATACAACTCGTCCACTGCCTCTTGGAGGGGCAACGGCTCCTCAATTCCACCCAGCCCAGTAATCCCCCAGAAACTATTATCATCGAGTCCCATAGTATTCGGGAATTCCATGTCGTTCAACGCCGGTTGAGCATCACTATTGTAGCGCCATGGCTCTCTATCGACTCCGATGGATGGACTAGGAACATTAAGATCTGGGGCCGGGACGGTCCCTAGCCCAACCCCGCTGACACTGCCTGTACCTAGGCTCGGACTTGTAGTTGTAGGTTTTTGCGATTTGAGCATAGTCTCGACTTGTTCTGATAGCATGACATGTTAGCCCAGCTCCAAAAATCACCATAAGCATCTAACATTCCAAATCTTCGAACTTCTGATGCTTAGAGACTTACTTAATCGCTCCTCTAATGCTTTCACATAGCCACGTTTCGGGCCAGACTTTCTTCGCACTGGGTCATATGTACAACTATGTCCCAATCTTGTACATGTTGAGCAGCTCGGTTTCGAACCATCACATTTAAGTTTTCTTTTTCGACATATAATACATGCAATCCTTTTCGGCTTTGGAATCGTCGAGTCTCCTTCGTTTCCATCAATTCCGCCTGCCATATCGCTTATATCTCTCGGAGGGTGTTTGATATTAAGGTGCCTGTTATTTGTGAAAGATCGTTGAAGAAGTCCTCGGGAGGCGTGTTCGAGGCTGATGACAATTTCACACGGAAAGATTATTCAATTTTAAAAACAAAGGGCTCTAAAGCCGGAGTGATCCAAATTGTTTCTTATTAATCCGACTAATCAGGCAATTGAATAAATAGTCTCTGAATACGCTGCCAATGATTGAAGCAGGCTCGAGGTAATAATAAACAAGATGCATAGAATAAAAGTTGCCGTGCCCTTTCGATAACAAAATAATGAGGGTGGAGTTTTAAGCTTCCAATGCCTGTAAAACCGTTCTAGTGTACCTAGGTAGTCCTAATACAGGGTAGATGTATGTGCCACTCTACCAGTAAATCTCTTTCCCCTCTTCAATACTACCGGTAATGATAAGGTTTGGGTCTAGAAATGGAAGAACTTTCTATTCTGTTGTTCTGAAAGTGGAACCTCGGACAGGGAAACGAACTGCACTTTGTACTTTGTACATATAAGATATAAAATGAATCAATAACTTTCATAACAGCTAATCCTATCAGATTGCTCAAGGCATCAGTAATAAAGTACCACGTAAGCTTAATGACCCCCTTACCACCTTCTCCTTATGTTTGCAGAGTAGACACGCCGCCGGTTAGATGCACATCAGCCTTGTGAAAGAACTAATTAGAACCAATCAAGCTCGACGGACCGAGTAGATCCCAGTAGTTGTAGTAAACCGGCTAGATATTATCCCGATTCAATAATTTTTACTATATCTTCAATTTCTTTTGGGAAAACTCATGTTTAGGTGTCTAGATTGGGGTGCAAATGATCCAGTAGGCCGGCAGCAGGCTGGAGCTAGAAAGTACGGAGATTTAGAAATTCTTAGGTCATACATCTTTCACCAAACAGAAGTTCTCTTGTTGATATTCTCGCCTATATACTCGATCTCTTGAATTGCAGTACACTACTACCAATTTAGCATGATAGGATCTGTTGGTGTGAGATATAAAAGAATATCGAACGTCACTCTTATACTATTGTAGATTGGAACTTTAGCTCTAAGCTACTTCCAGTTGACTCCAAACATTTCAATAACTATAGCGCGTATGAAATTAAATTTTTGGTTCAAGACCTCTATTGAGGTATGCTAGTAAACTGTATTTGAACGACATCGCCTTAGGTTGCCCTATATACATGGCATCCCAGTCCTCCGAAATCCATACCCAGTGCCAAGGTAATCGGCGAGCAATGTACTTCATATACATATACATCGGTATTGAAATGGTGATTCTTACCCCCTACCGTGAGAATAACTCTACCGTGGCTTTTTGACTGCATCTCTTGTCGTGGATACTTTCCAGAACTTCAAAAGTGGCCTTCGACCCCTTGCGGAAAACCTATAAGTTGCTTCTTAAGATCACATCGATCCCGTCTTTACTTCCTCTCTGAGTCAACTCCAATGATCTTCAAGCCACCGTGTTCCACATATGCCAAAGTATATTTGCTTGGGTGCCAAGCTACAACTGGGCAAGGGCTACCTTTAACGGTATACACGTGCTCTCCAGTCTCAGTATGGATAATCTCCAATCCCGTGCCTTCATCACTACCTCCAACTATATAGCTTCCATCAAAGCTGAAACTTATGCTCCTAATGGGGCCTACCATATCAATCAATGTACGTTGACATATCCAATCGGTTGTATCCCAAAGGGCAATGATAGAATCTGAACCCCCACTTGCCAAGAATCTTGCTGTAGGCTGCATCTCTACAGATAGACACGAGGATGTATGTCCATTCAAAGTGAAGGGCTGGGAAGGCTCAAAACTCATGTTGAAGACGGGTATGAAGTCTGGATAAGAGAGAATCTTGATACGACCTTCTCCCGTTGTAAGAAATATCTTATCACCACTCCAACAGAAAGCAATTTGGTTTGTTTGCACTGGCTGCTGATGTGAGGCAATAGGAGTTGACTGTGTGGGGGAGAGTACGTAGATGTTGTCAGCCTAGTGATGATTAGCTCTGGTTGGAAATCTAATACTTAAGTCGTTCAAAATAGATTCAGGCAAGGACGTAGGTATATTCATGAGAAATATAATTATACAGGTAGAAGAACGCATACCTTGTTGCCAACAATCAGACTTGATCCATCAGGAGACCACACGAGGCTCAAGGGGTCGCCCAATCCTTTGACTTCGTTGATCACTGCTTTCGTTCTGACATCCCAAAACTTAACTACGCCATCACTGCTCACACTGGCGAGTTCAGCATCTTTCACTGGATTGAAAGCCACTTTTTCGATGCCCGCAGTGTGACCGATAAGTTGAGTGGAATAATTCACCGAGACTTTCTCAGGGTTCCAGACTCGAATAGTTTTGTCTGAAGCCCCAGTTGCGATCAGGGTACCGAGAGAATTCCAACCAATGGTTCGCAAACTGAGAGAGTCAGTGATCTATGATTTCTAGAGAGAAAGCAGTAAAACAGAGCTTCCATATCACGTGGACCCGTGGTTTTCACATATGGAATGATAAACAAGAAAATGGGGGCGTACCTATGCGAGCCAGCGCCTCTTGCACCAGGATCGTTGTAGGTTTGAGTCTTCAAGGTACTGAAGTACCCAGAGAACTTCTCCTTTGAGAGACTCTGACGGTTGCGAAGGGGTGCCATCTTTTGTATGTGTTAAAGATTGTCGAGGATATTGGGAATAGTACAATATAATGTAGTTTTTGAGACCACTATACATAAACGAAAGGAATTATGTACTACTACCATGGAAAAAAGAATCTGAAAGGTTAGGTCATGGCTATAATAGTTTGTGTTTGTTACATTGTGAACAATAATGATATCAAAAATCCAGGAGCTCTCACGTGAAGATCCCAGTACAGTCAAGTGGATATTGCCGAAGATTAGCCATGCTCTCAGTAGCTCAGACATCCTTAAACATCATGGTCTTTATCAAGCACTGAAACCACAACAAAGAGCAGCTTGCTCAAAATATATGCCAATAATTTTCGCGGGTATGCGATGATGTGGACGAAGCTCCCAGTGGCATCGGACAGCCATGTACTGGCCGATTGGAGCTCCTCGAATATATGCAGCAAGCAGCAGTGCCGCATCTAAAGATCGCATTATTCAAACGGACGATGACGCCGAGTCGCGGGAACCTACAGAAGGCAGCGGGTCTCTGATAAATGCGCCAAATGATGAAGCCGAGGAGACGGTTGATGATGATCAAGAGTTAAATTCTGGTTTATCGACCCCCATAACACCCATTACACCGGGCATAAAGCCAGTCGAACATGACACTCATACTCGACCGTCGAATAGGTCATCCCTCACCGATGCATCTTTTTTCCCCTCGAGCCGACCAGACAACGATCCACTGTTGGCACTGAGAATATCTCGAAGCGTTCATCTTTTCGCGGTCATAACATCTACCGCTCTTACAATATGGCAGACAAAGGTACTTTCGATTCGGAATATTTCGAGCTTGCGCTTGACTATTGCTAACATACTCTCCTAGCCTACTGCTATATTAGCCGTTGTCATTCGGTCGCATAAATCTCTGGCTACTTACGGATCAAATGTTACCCTCCTCCTCCGACCAGACTCCATGATATTCGTCGTTCAGACAACAAAAGGTTTCCTGATAACTTACACCTTGGCCACAGATCCAGACTCCAGAGTTTTCAAGCCACACTTCGAAAATCACACAAATCGCAGGCAGAGTAATTTTAGTGGCTATAGGAGTCAGGGCGGTGATAGGATTCTTTGGGGTCCAGGCGAGGGAGGTGGTGTGAGAGATGTGAGCGTAAAGTTTCGTATGGTCATCAAAGTCGACGCGGGTATTGGGAATGCACTAGCATTGGATGATGAATTGGTCGTCGCAACAAAAAAGCCAGGCGCAGTACAGTGTATTAGATGGACCCCAGACAGTACAGGTAACCAAACAAGTACAGAGATTTTTAGCCGGATGGAATGGCTAGCTAAGGGAGCAAATGTATCCGAAATGATCTATGATAGACCGATGAATCTATCTACTTGGATCACCAGTGATGGTCGGGCATATGCAGTACAGCGTCATACCCGGCACAAGGATTCAGATGGGCACCGGAAGCTTTTCAGAGGTTATTGCTTTCACGTACCTACCAATGAAGACAACCACGCAATGAAATCAGCTATCAATGCTAGATTTTCCCTCCTCGCTGTTGGCTGCAATGATGGCACAATACAGGTATACACCGCCAAGGATTATGTCGGCAATGTACCGCCATCACATACCCATCGTCTGTCAGTTTCCAAACAATTTTCTGGCCAATTAACTTGTCTCAGCTACTCTCCAGACGGATACAGCCTTTTCGCAGGATATGAAAATGGTTGGGCAATGTGGAGTGTGTTTGGCAAACCAGGAGCAAATAGTTTTGGATCCGATCGAAGAATATGCGACGAGAATAATGAGGCTTGGCTAGTTGGTGTTAGGGAAGCTGTTTGGCTTGGTGCTGGAACGGAGATTCTCCTTATCAGCCAGGGAGACAATCGGCTGTGGATTCTGGAAATGGCACGCAGTGCTATCACTGGATGTTATGCCTCTGCAAATATATCTCGCACGTTACTTCAGACCACCTCAAGTATAATGGTTTATCGAGGTTATGATATGCCTGATCTTACCACTATATCAGCCGAATCTTCTTTGTGGCACAATGCTCAAATTCCTTCCAGTTATCTTGTCGATCAATGGCCCATACGTTGTTCGGTTATATCGTCTGATGGCAGGTATGTTGCAGTAGCAGGCCGGCGTGGACTTGCACATTACAGTATCAATAGTGGTCGATGGAAAACGTTCGTCAATGAAAATATGGAAAACGAATTTCAGGTAAGGGGAGGTATGTGTTGGCACCAGCACATTCTAGTGGCTGCTGTAGAAGCTGGAGAATCTTTCGAGTTGCGCCTATTTTCACGCGAGGCTCCTCTCGACAACACTGCCATGTTGCATGTCGAATATTTACCTGCACCGGTTGTTCTAGTTGCCCCGTCTGGAGAAGACTCTCTACTTGTATATACGTATGACAACTTACTGTACCATTACGTATTTGCAACGACAAATGGTGTAGTGAAGCTTGTACAGGTTGGTCAAATAGCTTTTCATGGCATCGTCAGATCTCCAGCTAGAGTGAGGGGTCTCAGTTGGATTTTGCCAGATCAACAAATACTTGAAGGTGACCCGTCACAAGATGTGGCCGTCGCGACTGTTCTTTTCCTGGTTGACGGCAAGCTTGTCTTACTACAACCATCACTCACTGATGAACGCAAACTTAAATATGATATGAGAGTCATTGCACAAAATATTGAATTTTATGCTCTCATGAGAGATCAACCTTTGACGAATCCACCCAGAAACACAGAATCTACCGAGGATTTAGGGGACCATGGGCAAGGAAATGGTCTACGAGATGCGCTCTGGTTCTTTGAAGGCAACGAGATCAAAGTATGGCCCGAGGTCCAAGACGTCCTTCGTTCAGCTCCATCGGAATTAGGCCGCGAGCTTCCCTCCACGGTCTCCATTCCCATCGATTTCTATCCTTTGTCGGTTCTGCTTGGTAAAGGTATCCTCCTTGGTCTTGAAACTGATCTAGTTCAGCGTCGTGATGTGAATTTTGCCTTTTTCAAATTCGCAATAAGGGTATGTACTGAGCACGAGTGCAATACAGGATTTGTGTTAACATATGATCTAGACTCATCTATTCATCCCACAAATTCTTCGTTTCCATTTATCTCGATTCGATTCTTCGGCAGCTTTGCATTTAGCCCATCAGTACCAAAACCTTGAGTATTTTGCGCACTCACTCGAAATCTTGTTACACAATGTTCTAGACGAGGAAGTAGACACGCCGCCATCTCCCGAGGCAGCTTTACTGCCAGGCGTGTTGTCATTTTTATCCTCTTTCCCTCAATATTTGGACATCGTTGTTCAATGTACCCGTAAAACGGAGGTGAGGTCATGGCGGACGCTATTTACATATCTACCACCACCACAAGAATTGTTTGAAGAGTCATTACAAAGAGGCTTCTTGAAGACAGCTGGAGGATACTTGCTAATCCTTCACACATTTGAAGAATTAAGTTCAAGCTCGGAACAACTTGTTCGTTTACTTTCTCGTGCAAAAGATGAAGAAGATTGGGAGTTGTGTAAAGAACTCGCACGATTCTTAACTGCTCTTGATGAAACTGGAGCTACATTAATGGAGGCGTTGGAGATGGTCAGCCTTCGAAGCCCTAAAAATGACCGAGAAGCCACGAGTTTTATGTTTGAAGGCACAAAATTGAAAGGGCCTCGTCCAATTAAGGAAGCTAGTGTCAACGGAAATGAAGTTTATGGCGATTTAAGTCCCGGGATGTCTCAGGGGAGCAGTGAGGCGGACTATTTCTCCTCCCGGCACTAGGTCATTCGTGAGTAGATTTGGTAAATGGCATTTCAGGGGTGTTTGGAAGGCGTCTAGGCAGGGCTCATACTTGAATAAAACGACGAGAGCCATGATTTGTATGATGGTATGGTCCCAGGCAATTTAAGTACTTCTTCAGAATATTGCAGAAACATTATAATCACATACGACCTTATCTTGATGAACTGTGAATGTGAATGTCGTACATGCATTGCACTTTTTAGAATTGACTAACATGGGAGCATATTTGCGCGTACTACTTTTATGAAAATTGTAAATATGTTCTAACAATGAATTCGAAACATCGACGATTAAACAAACACAAGTAGAGGAAAAACAATACTGCAATAAGAATCCCTAAATCTGTGATGTCTCTTCTCTTCCTGATTTGGTGGAAGCCACAGGAGTCACGCTGGAGCGAGCAAACTAGCTCCACTAGCGCCTTCCCTCGATAAGAGCTACCTGGGAGCTTGAATCAACAGATCAATATAACCAACAACCACGAAATCAACAACCACGAAATTGCGAAGACATTTCATACGCTCGCTCCACAACATTTTGATACCCCCAGGAGCTGAGTAGTAAGTTCATCATGTCTCTGGATCCACCCACTTATCTCTATTCGTTGATGAACAACATTCGCCAACGACCAATACCTTGGGATGGCGCTGTACGAGCTGGCACAATCACCGAGGATCAATTGAGCAAGATTCGAGCCGTTGACAAAGTAAGAAAGGAGCAAAGGAAGGAGAACGTAGAGAAAGATCCGGATGCGTATAGAACGCTTTTTGTTGGTTCGGAAGAAGAATCGAGCGTCTTGGAATCGGCGACGAGAGCAAAGCGCCCGGATGTTGTTCAGTATATGTTGGTCTTGTTGGGCGATTTACTTGATGGTATTACATCTGCCACTCCAAATCATATCTGTTTAGGTACTGATAGAGACTGATAGGCATTCCAACGTTATCAAAGACTCTTTCGGAACACGATGATCCGTACAGACCCTTCCTCCCACTACTTGGCCAATCCAATGAACTCGAAAGCCCCATACCCTTACTCGCCTCTACGGTTCTCACAAGCATAATATCAGGCTCCAAAGATGCATCCAAGAATGCATTGGAAGCAATGCCAAAACTGTTCCACTATCTATCAACACTGGCAAAGAGCTCAGACGGTGGTTTACAAGATATAGCAGTTTTACAATACTCATCATTGTTACAAGGTAAGAAATCGAGAGAGCTATTCTGGGATCAGAGGTCGGAGACAATCGAGCCCTTAGTTGCCATCTTAAAACTAGCCGCAGGGGTTGCCAATGGCGATTCTGCGTCAACATTATGGAGTGGGGCTGCAAGTATTCGAAGCGGACCCGAAGGGACATTAGGTGGCGGAGTTGGCCTACAATTGCTCTATCACATACTTCTGGTTTTGTGGCAGTTGAGCTTCGAGGGTGCTGCGATGGGAGAGGGACTCGAGGAGTATGTATCGTCTATGGAGGAGACACGTAGTGACAAGCAACTAACCATTTCATAGCGAGTACGATATCATTCCACTGTATACGCAACTTCTGAGGTTGTCGCCAAAAGAAAAGACAACTCGGTTGTTAATATCTTCTCTGTACAACCTCCTCTCTTCGAACCAGAGCTCATTGCTCCCTGTGGCAGTCTTTGCACGTCTCCCAGCTCTTCTACAGAATCTGAATGGACGTCATCTCACAGACGAGGATCTTTTGGAGGATCTTAAGAAAGTGAGCGAACTACTAGAGGAGCACACAAAGACTCAAACCACTTTCGACGAATACGCTGCAGAGGTCCATTCGGGCCACCTACGCTGGTCACCGCCCCATCGAAATCAAATATTTTGGGCCGAGAACGCTCGCAAAATTCTCGATTACGAGCAAGGCGAGTTATGCAAGAAGCTTGCAGAGATTATGAGTAAGCCTTGGGAGAATGACAAACAAGTTCTTGCTATTGCATGCAATGATGTCGGGTACTTGGTTAAAGAGGTTCCAGAGAAGAGGTATCAGTTAGAAAGACTGGGCCTCAAAACTAGAGTTATGGAATTGATGACGGAGCCTGATGAGACAGTGAGATGGGAGAGTTTAAATGCTCTTTCGGGGTGGTTGAGATACAGTTTTGAGACGAAGTGAAGGACTGCGTTGATATTGTGATTAGGTATGGTCAGGGGAGGAGTTGTATTATGGAAAGGCTTGAGGCCTGACGAAGAGAGCTGGATCTTCAATTGTTTGCCCGAGATCAAAACCTCAGTGAAGACTAGTTGTGAATGCGCCGGTGTTTAATTAGTGTATAAATAATGATGAGGATTTTATATCAAATTTGATCCTGCTGAATAATAGAGTAGGTAGGCATGCGTGGTGACTTTAGATTATGTGGTTATAGGCCTGTAACCCCGCGACGATCCCCCACTTTAACCTCAACATAAGCTTCCATACTTTATAAACAACATAACTTTTTGATAACAATCAATTGGTTCAAAATGAGACGATTCAAAGCTGCAACGGAAATCTGTGATGCTGTGCTGTTAAACCACATAGCACCAAGACACACTCGTCAACTCTCAACAGCTGTTCAACGACTAACCTCCATCACAACCTCGCTCTTATCTCTCACTACCACTTCTCGATCCCCAACATCTGCTAGAGCGACAAGACAGCAGGAATCAATTCGTCATGCCTCATCTTCCTCTCCCTTATCCCCAAAACTTCTCAAAACCCCTCTCTACGACCTGCATATCGCCAATGGAGGAAAAATGGTCCCCTTCGGTGGTTTCTACATGCCAGTTCAGTACTCCGGACTCTCGGTGAGCGCCTCGCATCATTTTACGAGAGAGCATGCTAGTCTTTTCGATGTGAGCCATATGGTTCAACATAGATTCGAGGGGCCGGGGGCAACGGCATTCTTACAGAGGATTACACCGGCTAGCATTGCGAATTTGGCTTTACATCAGGGAGGGCTGAGTTGTTTGTTGCATCCTGGGACCGGGGGGATTGTGGATGATACTATTATCACGAGATTAGGACCGGAGATCTTTTATGTGGTTACGAACGCGGGATGTAGAGAGAAGGATATGAAATATTTGAGAGAAGAGTTAGAGGGGTTTGTGAAGGATGGGGGGGAGAGGGTTGGGTGGGAAGTGTTGGAAGGGTGGGGATTGGTTGCGTTGCAGGGGCCAGAGAGTGAGAGTATTTTGAAGAAAGTTTTGGCCGAGAATATGGAGGGAAGCTTTGAGGATTTTTTGTTTGGACAGTCGAGATTTATGAAAATATCTTTGGTTGATGGAACAATATCTGCGGATTTGTTGGTTAGTAGGGGCGGTTATACGGGAGAAGACGGATTTGAAATATCAATACCGGAGCACGAGACGGTCGCTGTTACCGAAGCGTTGTTAAAGAGCGCCGGGGAGAAAAAGCTGCAATTGGCGGGGTTGGGAGCGAGAGATAGTTTGAGATTGGAGGCGGGCATGTGTTTATATGGACATGATTTGGATGATACGACGACGCCTGTAGAGGCGGGCCTGGGATGGATTGTAGGAAAAGAGAGAAGAACAGAAGGGGGCTTTCACGGCGCTGAAGTTATTCTTAAGCAACTCGCCCCGAAAAGTAAAGGTGGAAGTGGAATAGAGAGAAGAAGAATTGGCTTGATAGTTGAAGGTGCACCAGCTCGGGAAGGCGCGGACATCGTAAATGATAAAGGAGAGAAAATTGGTAATATCACAAGTGGATGTCCAAGTCCGACGTTGGGTAAGAATGTGGCGATGGGTTATATTAAGGATGGGTTTCATAAGGCGGGTACGGATGTGAGTGTAGTGGTGAGGGGGAAGGGGAGGAAAGCGACGGTTACTAAGATGCCTTTTGTGCCGTCGAAGTATTGGAAGGGACTAAAAGGAACATCTCCTGCTTGAGGAGAGGCTGTTGGAGGAAATGAGGGGAGGGAAGGGAAATGGGATATGAACGGGCGTTTTTAGATTAGCATTTTGGCAAGCTTTGTCTGTATCTGCTGAGATCGACGGGCGCTACCAATTGTGCATGGCATGTACAGTGAGAATGGTGTGGATGGTAGGCATGGCTATCGCAACACTCGCTGCTTATGGCAAGCTGTCTGCTTGTCCAAATCTAGATGTTCGAGCGAAATGATTCGGCTTGTTGTTGATGGGGATCTCGGTATCTGGCAAGACTCGGGAGGTATAGACATTTGTCGGAACAATAGAATGAATCATGGACGTGGACATGCATATACCCCAGTCTAGGCGCGTGGGCAGGCGGGGTCTTTCAGAAGGACGTCATCAACTTTTGTTCTTCCCAAACTAAGATCATGATTTTTTTTTCATCAAAATGCAATTGAAAATGTCATATTCTGTCATCAGACATGATATAACTTATTGGCCTTTCCCTTCATAACTTGACTTGAAAACTCACATCCTTGAACCTTCAAAGCCAAATTCAAATTCAATCAATCCCTTATCTTGTCGTTTTGCTCCCATGGGTGGGTCTCGGAACAGCATATTGGATGGAAATTATATTGAGGTGTCCGCCTTGGCTTCACTTGCTATGGAATACATCGCATCTGATACCTCGCTTGGTCTTGATCAATGGTGATATGCTGTTTATTGGTGGTCTGTACGATACCTCGTATGTCACCTGATTTCGCTTGAGGAAGAGCTATTCTGAATGCGATTCTCCTTGTAGCTTGTTCCACTACAACTACAGAGACACATGGCATAGCTTCAACCCAACTGTTTGTGTGTGAAAATGAAAAGAAAGATGGGGAAAGCAAGGTGCGAAGAAGAGAAATGTCATGATCAAAGTGGTTGAGTGAATGCATCATTAGTTTTCCTGAGAATGAACAGAGATACAACCCGGACGCTTCATCGGTGGTTCAACTTTCAGCATCGCTTGCTCGAGAATCGAAAGGAGAAGCACTTCAAGGGTGATCACCATGGTGAGTACAATTTTCGCTTCTTCCTTCATCTTTCTCCATACTCTTCTTCGCGCTTGTCTTCGTTGTGTACTGGAGTGCAGTATATGTATAGTGCTTACATCCTTATACATTCAAACATTCATATTTTGCGGAAATACGAATAATCGAGGAATACAGTCTGGACGGCTTGAACATGAATGCAGAATAAGCAAAACAACAAAGAGGATTGTGACAATGGTTGCCGAGCAGTTCGCTATAACAGAGGTGTCCGGATCCGAGGCGAGAAAGAGAGAGATCGGGTATTCTTATAGTTCTACCCAGTCCTCCGAATGGAGATTGGGAGCCACATCACACGACCTTTAAATCCAGGGGAGTGAAGCTAGGCAATTAATACCCCGTACCGCTGACACCGTCATTATGCATCCTCTAACTGTCCTTAGGCGGATGGCTGGTTCCAACTTCAACGGTTCAAGAAGCTAACACTGATGCGAGTTGGTCGGCTACCAGTCGAAGTCTCACGGGTCAATGGACAACTCCACGAGACAATTTTAGATGTGGAGGTTCTCTAGAACTAAGAACTCAGAAGCCCGCTATCGGTATTGACGTTACTTGAAATACCTAGTGGTAATTTATAGCTCGATACAAATTTGCGTCAAGTTACGTAATTTGCAAAATCTCTTCGAGAATGACTAAGACTTTGCCAAGACTTTAGCGTATACTACCCCTTATTAAGTGTGGACTTCGTGCAAGTTATAACATTGTTGTCGTCTGTATCCGACTTCTACCATTAAGAATTTGAGATTGAGTTTCGGGCTAATGGTACGGGTATGTAGTATGTCCTATATATGTGCTAGTATCAAATTGTATATTACACATCCTAGGATTCCTAACCTTGAATCCTTGATGAATTACCATTTTTTCCTTGATGCCATTTCTCCACACTATATACCCACTGATCTCCGATCTCGGTGTAGCAGGCTCGCAAAGAGAAACGTGCACTACTGGCCTTGGATTTCAGACTAATATCACATTATGGCTTATGTATACCTTCTTTCCCTCAGTTTGCAATTTTGTCTAGTTGTACATACAGTCCTCGATAAAAAAAAAGAAGCAATGAACGACGAATTGGCTCGCGAATCCCTTCCCAAGGTGGGAATGTCAGGGGATGATAAGACAGGCCAGCAAGATCAAGAAGTCAGTTATGATGCCGTCTTTGGTGATATCAATGAGGATGGGCCAAATTATCGAGCGGTAAGTACAGGAAATTCGACGGAAGCGCATGTTTGTTGATGATTTTTAGGTTGGACGGCTGGGTACCACTGCCCTAATGCTCAAGACCAATCTCGGTCTGGGTGTACTTTCCATCCCAGCTATCTTCGATACGCTCGGTATGGTTCCTGGTGTCATCTGTATTATCATCACGGCCACTATTACTGGGTGGTCACAGTACATGATTGGAGTATTCAAGCGAAAGCATCCTGAAGTCTACGGTGTTGAGGATGTTGGTGGCATGCTTTTTGGAACTGCTGCTCGCGAGATTGTTGGTATTGCCTTCTTCGTTTGTGAGTGATATCTTCTGATCATACGGATCCGTGCCCGTGCCCGTGCCCGATTTTGATTCTTGTTCATTTAGTCTTGATCTTCGTCTCTGCTTCGGGCATGCTCAGTGTCTCGATCGCTTTAAACGCCTTATCGACCCATGCTACTTGCACCGCAGTGTTTGTGGCTGTCGCTGCCATAATCGCCTTCTGTTTTGCCAGTATTCAGACCCTCGGTCGTATCACTTGGCTCGCATGGATCGGAGTAGCTGGAATTATTACTGCCAGTAAGCTATCCAACCGTCTTTGCGCCAATCAAATCAACTAACACGTGTCCAGTTCTTACTCTTACAATCGCTGTGGGTGTACAAGGAAAGCCCGAAGACGCCCCTATTCAGTCAGGCCCTTATAAGTCCGACTTTAAGCTTTTTGGCTCCCCATCGTTCACCGATGCTATCTCCGCCTGCTCTTCGCTTGTTTTTGCCTTCGCTGGAACACCCGGGTATTTCAATATCATTTCGGAGATGCGCGATCCAAGGGGCTATTCTCGTTCAGTGTTTATCAGTCAGGGCTTTATCACGGCAGTCTACATTGCAATCGGTATCGTCGTCTACTACTTTTGCGGATCATACGTCGCATCACCCGCCCTCGGCTCCGCAGGTGATACTATGAAAAAGGTCTGTTACGGCCTTGCTCTTCCGGGTCTCCTGGTTAGCACCATTTTGATCTCTCATGTAAGTACAAATGATCCGCTGGTTTTGCCTTCTTTTCTAATGTGTTTCGTAGCTTCCATCCAAATTCCTCTTCCTACGTCTTCTCCGTGGATCGAAGCATCTTACCTCCAACTCCAAGACTCATTGGGCCGTTTGGCTCAGCTGTACTGCGACAGTCATCATCTGCGCCTACGTCATTGCGAGCGCGATTCCCATCTTCGGCGGTCTAATTTCCCTCATCGGTGCTTTATTCGGTACCTTTTTCAATTTTCAACCGTTTGGCCTCATGTGGCTTTACGACAACTGGAGTTTGGGCAAGACTCAGAGATCATCCAGGTGGATCTTCATGGCGTCCTGGAGTATTTTTGTCATTGTTATCGGTTCTTTCTTGATGGTTGCTGGTACCTACGGGTCGATCGTTGCTATCATTGATTCATACCATGCCGCGGGAGGGTCGAAACCGTTTACGTGCGCGGATAACTCGAATTCTGTTCGAGACTGAATGGGGAGCAGGGGATAATTACTACAATAGCCCAAGCACAAGTCTTTGTGGCATTGTAGGCTTTCGCAACGGCAGCTACTCGAGTCCCTGGATCAAAACATGTAACGTGAGATGAGAGTCTAAAAAAATCGATTGGAAATTCGTCCCAGTGTGCCTGCCACTCACTTCTTTCCGACAGCCCATGATTACCTACCTACCTTGGCTTCAATAGACTGGAGTCTTTGGCAGTCCCGCAAGATATTTAAAGGGTATACTGTATCCGACAACCGACATCAAGTCTGTGCTATGGGAATAATGAACATCAGCCATATGGCCCGGAATAGGAATATCCAGGAATTGACACATAGTTATCGGTCTTCGCGCGCATTGAATCAATACGAGTGGTGTCACGGTGCCCTCTGCGATGAACGCTCTTCGACAAGCGTATGATTCATAGGCAGAATTCATCAGATGGTTCGACTGTTCGACACGCCCGATTCTTAAGACATCCATAGCTGCAGTAGAGCCCTTGGTTCCTATTCAACATTCAATAAAGTTTGTTATCTTGTATATCGGCAAGAATACGAAAATCACATGGATATACACTATTGAGAATCCGGGTCAGTCGTAGATCCAAAAAGGAAGAGAAGTCCAGATAGACAGAAAAAGGAAGGAATTCCGTATCGAAGAGGGTAAAACCTGCAAGTGAGGGTTAAATAATGGCGATGGGTTCTTATAATTCGGGTGCAGTCAGTGGAACGATGCAGAAAAGGAGTATATTGATAGGAAAGATATACATGTTAGTATTAGTAATCATAATGGAGAATGAATACCGAGTTGAATGTGTAAGGTTATCCTTGAAGCTTCTACTGTTGATTGTGATATAGTTGGCGGGTGTACTTGTAGTCTTGAGATATATGTATATGGGCCATGACTGAAGTGACGGTGACGGTGACGGTGATAACGAGAATGGTGATGGAGTCGAATGGTGTTTCTTCTTTTTTTGGCGCTGGTTGAAGGGAAGTAAGTGTAGGAGAGGAAATGGGAGAGGAGAAGAGGATGATGAAACAGCATCATTATCATAACCGTGGCTTTCTTGGAGGTACTGGATACTTCATCACTCGATATTACTCCCCCCTGCGCTCAAAGAGTTGATTATTGCTCGTTGCTCCTGGAGTAGTATAAAAACATAATGGACGTCACGTGTCAAGCCCCGCATGGAAAAGCTCGACTTGACAAGCCGAGCTCAAGTCGGATCAAAGCCACAGAGTCATGATGTAATTGAACGATGAAATTCAATTTGACACTATTGCATACCAGTACTCGTAGATCGAAAGGTTAGCAAGGCTACCTCAAAAGCTAGGAAGTCCACTGTCTACAGGTAGGTGAAGTTTCACTCTACAAATACCTCCGTCTATTCTTCTCTTCAATTTGGAAAGTAAACAATTCAACTGCTATATTATTTCCATTTTCACAAACTCATAATGCCCTCCATTCCAACCATTCTATACCGTAGCCCTGCCAGGCTCAGGGCTTCTATCTTGATCCCTCAATGTCGACAAGCGGTTTCTACTCGACCTTTCTCTTCTTCGCTATCCCGAGCTTCAACTCAGGGGTATGGAGATGGAGAGGGCAGCCCCGTGTCGGAGAATCCACAAGATCAGGGAGCCTCAAACGCCACGAAGCATAACGCAGAACACCCTGGCCCCGAGCCAGTATCTGAAGGTCAAGGAACTGGTGCAGGCCCAACAAAAGGTGGCTCGAAAGGTCCAAAATCCCCCGAGGATGCATCTGCACAGTCTGGAGGATCGAGATCCATGGAAGCAAAGGAGACTGGATCCAGCCCAACAGGTGGTTCCATCAAGGGAAGCGGAGGCAAGAAGAAAAATCTAAAGGAGAAGAGTGTCAATGGAGCTTCACCCAAGATTCATTCGGAAGATAAACCCCCGGGACCGGATAGTGCGAGCAAACAAGCTGAGGTTGAGAAGCATAATAGGGAGTTCAGGGAGGGACACGATGGAGGCTCACAGAAGGCTGAATAAGAAATTTTGAGAATAGTAAGTCGGATTATAGATGATGAAGATACATGATTCAAAAGCTAATCGATGCTTCACAGGTAGTGAGTGGATGGGCCGATCAGAAACCATGAGGTTCATGCTATGATATGTATTTTTGTCTTGATGACAATTTCTCATGTCAATATTCTGTACAAATACTACTTCGAGCCTAATTTGATATATACAATTTTCAGACCAGTATACTTCAAGAGCTTCCATAATTTCTTTTTTGGAATATTTATTATGTTGACTGGGACCAGCTTGTTCCTACGAAAGCCTGATATGAAGCTCTATCAGAATTATAATGAAATTGATCTTATTTTAAACCCATCCCCCGTCTTTTCGTATCAAAAACATCTCATAGAATCTTGAGTTCATAGCAGTCACACAGCTCTCATTACCTACTAGATACAATATAATGAAGCTACCCCACATCTCAAGACGGCAACTATAATTTAGTCCGTGCGTAACATATTCAAGCCACATTTGAGCAACATTGTCCCAGTATGACATCAACCAAGTATTAAACCAAAGCATCCCATCAATTCCCATCATTCCCATCATTCCAACTTTTCCATCAAAAGGAAATCTAGATTCTTCTACTATTCTTCTACCACTTCCCCAAATCAATCAATCCATCCAATCCAAAGTTACCAAGCTTCTTTGTTCCATTGGTTAAAAAGGTGAGTTACGTCATTGTCCTTGCTTTTTGCGGAAGCTTTGCTCCAGCCACATCTTGATCAACAACATCAACAACATAAACTTCTTCTACTACAAACCTTCTTGCTTTGCAAATTCCTTCAAACCATACTACAGATTCTATTTGAGTGTTTTTAAAGCAAAGATACCCAAACTTACAACCTTAGAATTTCAAGAATAACAAAAACATAGTGAGGCTCATCGTGCAAGATGAAGTTCTTTTCTCAGCTGTTAGTTCTGGGTCTGGCAGCGGAGGTCACGGTAGCTGGTAGCTGGTTCAGCAATGCTGGTATGTATACCCTTTTGGCCCTTTTTAATTTACATCATCACCACTTTTACACATTTAAGCTTCAAGCTTCTTGGAGCTATTGAGAGGCTCAAACCATTCACTTGGAACGCTGTAGCTGAATGTATTGGCTGGCACGCACCACTTTAAATTACCCATCTCAGCTTTTTATTTGATTGCTCCTTTGTTAACATACTCCCCTCCCAGTCTACAACAAATGGCACGAGACCGAGCTTGAGAGATGGCTTTCAGATAATAACGTTCCATATCCAACAACTGCCGATCGTAAAGATTTGGAAAGCTTGGTGAAGGAGAACTGGCAATCAAAGGTTGCATCACCATACAACGATTGGGATACCAAACAACTCAACTCTTATTTGAAACAAAAGGGTGTTGAAACTAAGGATAGTGCTGCGAGCAATAAGGATGGCTTAGTTTCCCAAGTCAAGGCTTACTGGTACGAGGCGGAAGACAAGGCAGAAGATGCTTGGTCGAACGTTAGAGATTGGGTCTTTGATAGCTGGACTGGTAAGCTAGCCGGAGCCAGTGAGATTTCTATGCAGTATTCGCTAACGGTCTCAACAGATTCTCAACTTTTGGCATTCGCTGATAGACATAACATCCCCGTTCCACACCCAAGAAAAAGAGATACTCTTCTCCAAAAGATTCGTTCAAACTACGACTCTATTGCAAAGAAGGCTGGCGAAACCGCTGCCTACCCCGGTAACTGGCTTTACGAGTCTTGGTCCGAGTCCGGTATGTTATTCAAATGGAGTTTTGTGCACACAAGCTAACTTTCATCTTAGAACTAAAGGAATTTCTCGATACCCATGGTATTCCAGCACCTCAACCATCCACTCGTGATAAGTTAATCGCTAGTGTACGTCGTAATGCCCGGGTTGCCAGTCTCAAAACTGCCGATATTCAAGCCTCTGCCTCTTCCTCAGCTTCTGCTGCCACCGAGACATTGAGCGAGAAACTTCTCAACGCCTGGTCTGATACCCGTAAGTTCATTCTGTGAATTTCCTTGGATTCTTAATTAACAAGATGTAGAAATCAAGGAGTGGGCCGATAAGAATGGTATCAAGGTTCCTCAAGGAAGTAAGAGAAATGAATTGTTGGCTATCGCACGCAAACACAGGGCCCAACTTGTTGGAGATACTGCTGCAGCTTCCGCTAAGAGTTACGCTGGTAAGGCAAGCTCCTCTGGAGCTTCCGCTTTCGGTGCTGCCACTAGCTCTGCCGGAAACCAATATGCTAAGGCTACCGATGATGCCCAACTTAAGGCTGAAGATGCTTTTAACGCCGCTATTGGATCATGGAGCGAATCTCGTCTCAAGGCCTATCTTGACGCAAGAGGTGTTCCCGTTCCACAATCAGGAAAGAAGGACGACATCCTCGCTGCCGTTCGCTTACAAAAGCACAAGGCTGCTAGTGGGTGGTCAGCTTGGACTTTCGATACCTGGACTTTGGATAACTTAAAGGCTTACCTCGCATCTTCCGGTGATGCTGCTGCCAAAAAGGCATCAGAGCAGGCTGGAGCTACTCGTGATGATCTTGTTCGCGCCGCTCAAGACTCATATGCAATCGCTTCCAAGTCCAGTGGCCCTGCATATGCCAGCGTCACATCTTATCTCGCTCAACAAACTGACGCAGTTAAGGATGCTACGTTTGAGACTTGGTCTGATTCGGATTTGAAGTCTTATCTTGACAGCTATGGTGTTCCCGTCCCACAAGGAAGCACTAAGAATGAGCTCATTGCTTATGCCCGCAATCAAGCCAATTACTTTAGATATGGTAGGAAAAGCTTATTGTTCCCCTAATCCAATTGATTGCTGACACTATATAGGCACCACCACACCACAAGGTACCCTTTGGGCCAAACTCTCCAGCGGAGCACAGTGGATTATGGATCAACTCTACATCGGCGCCGCCTCAGGTCGCAAGCAAGCTGCCTATCAAGGCGAGAAGGCTACCGATGCTGTCAAGGAGAAAGCTACTTATGCTTCTAACCGTGCCGGTGAGGCCGCACAGAAGGCTGGTCATGTCATCAAGGAGGAGTTGTAAACCTACCTAGGTAGTCAACGGGTTATTTTGACTTCCTTGCAGCCAGGACAATGCAATCTGTACCATCACATTATTAGGCGTAGGATTTCGCAAACGAAAGCGAATCAAAAGAATTTTTTTTAGGTTGGGTGAGCGGGAATTTCCATATGGGCTAGGTTAGGGGGGGTGGGGAATTTGATGAATGAGGGCAATGAATACAATTAATTTTCTGTGCTGTACCTTAAACCTGAATTGATGATATCGATGATTGATACTTTGGTCTATAACAATTGTTTGATCTCGGTTGTGAATAGAAAGAAACAGTAGACGTTTTTGTTGTATTTTCAGATACTAAACTACTAAAATGGTCGGAGAGAATTTCCTCTTCAGGCTTATCTAAGCTCATCAGCCCCCTTCATTTCACCCCGTTAGTTCGCTAAAAGCACGTTCCGGCCACTACCAGAACCTGCTTTTCCTTTCTTAAATCTCATGCGAGAAAGTACACGTTCACCAATCAATCCTGAATATCACTATCGAAATCCCTGTGGTATCACCACTTTTATACCAAATCTATAGGGTGTGTTTGAAGGGCCATCTGGAGGGATAGTGGCCACAAAAGCCTGAATTCTCAGCTATGATGTAAGAAGAGAAGCTCGATGGTTCGGAGGGAATTTTTGCATGTAGGTGTTTGTGTGATGATTTCTGTGCTGGTTGGTATGTTTGGATTTTTGGAGAATTACTACTAGGTATACTCTGAGTATCTTTGCGGAAGATATCAATTGTTTTTTGTGTGTTTTGTGATTTGATTTAAATTGAATTGGGCTGAATTGAACTGATCTGATCTGACCTGATTGTTTGCTGTCTATATTTTTGGAGCCTTGGTTTTGTATGGATTGCAACCCTGGGTGCGATACGATTCTGGGGTGAAGTTTGATTATTTCAGATATTTGGCGACGGAGGAACTTACGAATATGGGTGGTTTTACAATTGATAGGTCGAAAACGGTACATGTGCCTTTTCGCGGTTTTGCGGGCCCGACGAGCGTGGCAGATAAATTGCGCGAATGCGAAAAGGCAGATGCAGAGAGAGTTAGTGGGAAGAAGATCAAGACGGTTAGGAAGTCGAGGTTCAGAGAGGAAGGATTGGACGATGAGGTGATTGAGAGGGTGGATGTTGGGAGTTTGGGAGGGGGACCTGTTGTTATCGGGAATGGTTTGAAGTCGAGGAGTACGTGGAGTGGAACTTCGACAGCTATAACGGCTTCACCAGTTTCGGGACAAAAGAGAGAAAGTGAAGAATCGCACAATGCGTCGAGAGGGGCAAAGGCTGGTAAGACTGGGAGACCGATAATTGCGACTTCGAATACACCTCCCATGGCCTTTTCGACAATACCGAGAGTTGCGTTACTCGCGTTCCTGATTGCGGTGGTTGTGCCTGCGTTTGGATATACTGGTAGGCAGAAGAACAACATAAATGTCATGAATGGGAATGGTGCAGATGCAGGAGTATTGAGGGGTTCGGAATCTGTGGATAGTGGAAGTATGATCGAGGGGAGGGCGAACAGTCCTATATCGATTTGTACGAGATGGAGTCATATGAGTATGTTTTGGCATATTTATTTGATTTATGGATGTATAGCTAACCAAATGACATTTTAGCTGCGAATGTCGATGGAACATTATACATATATGGAGGAGAAGCCACCACGGAAAGTGGGCAAACTACGGATACTTGGAGTAACATAATTTCTTCTACAGCATTTGAATAAGCATTAACTTGCTACAGATAACGACTTCCTGAAACTAGACCTCACCAAAACCTGGAAAATTGCATCACCAGTTATATCAGGCCTATCACAGCCATCAGGACCCCCCGCGGTAGCAATGGGCTCTCTTTGGCATACATATGATTCGTTATTTTTATACGGAGGGGAATTTTCAGATAGTCCACAAACTTCCCCTTCTGCAGTAGCGACATGGAAATATGATATTGAGTCGGCGACGTGGACGGAATTCTCAAATCCACAAACGGCCGGGGGTAATGGTTCGGATGTTGCGCCGGCGGATGTTCAGCGAGCGGCGGATGGTGCGGGTTTGAGTGTCCCGGAATTAGGAAGGAGTTGGTATTTTGGGGGACATTTGGGTAAGTGATTTATTTCTTGATTCCCCTGTTTTGGACGAATCAATTGGCAACTGCTAACATTAGGTACTCATAGATATGTATACAACACCTGGATGGTCGAATCAAGTTACTAGGGTATATTTGAAGAGTCTTCTAGAGTTCACTCATCCTGGATATACGAATGATGGAGTCACTTCATTAGGTACCACGAACGGAGCAGGTACTGGTGGTGTATACCGAAATATCACACAAGGTGGCTTGCAAGATGATGCTGGTTTTACGGAAAGAGCTGATGGTGTTTTGGTATATGTTCCTGGTTGGGGTGTTGATGGGATACTGCTTGGATTGGCCGGTGGCACTAATGTGACATTTGTGAGTAGTGGAGCCTCGATGACTCTATTGAGAGAACTAATATCTTTAAGACAGAGATGAACATTATCGATGTATATGATATTGCGAGCAGTACTTGGTATAAGCAGAGCACTTTCGGTGCGACTCCTCCAATTCGTGTCGACCCTTGCGCTGTGGTTGCCGCTGCACCCGACGGTAGCAGTTTCAACGTTTATTTGTATGGAGGACAAAACCTCATACCATATGGTAACCAAACGCAATATTCCGATATGTGGATTCTCACAATTCCATCCTTCACCTGGATCCAAGTCGATATGTCCGACCAATCTCAACCCCCGGCTCGAGCAGGCCATACCTGTAATCTTTGGGATGGACAAATTGTTGTCGTCGGTGGCTATGTAGGAAAAGATATATCCTGCGATAGCCCCGGAATATACGTTTTCAATGCATCGTCCCTTCAATGGAGTAATTCTTTCACTGCTCTTTCATCCTCCTCTCCCACCTCATCAGACCAGGATTCCGAAATAATTCAAGGGTCTATTGGTTACACCGTCCCCGATGTCATACAATTCATTATTGGCGGTTCATCTCTCGGCGGTGCGACGGCCAGTACACCTGCGGCTGGCTCTGCTACTGCCGGTCCTTTGGCAACAGGCAAACCTCCCACTTTCACCGTAACACAATCTCCATCTACAATCACCTCGACATCTATCTCAACCCCAATATCTTCTCCCGAGACAACTAAAAAAGAAACAAATAAGGCGGCAATAATCGCAGGTGTCATTGCTGTCGCATTAGCTTTCCTAGCTGGGTATCTAGCATTTTGTAGTTGGTTGTATAGGAGACAGTTAAAGTCATATAAGGATCATGTGGCAATGTCTCAAAGAACAGCTTTCGTGCCCGCGAATAGAATGTTTAGGGGCTCGGATGGCTCGAGTCGTGATGGTAGATATGGGGAGAAAATGTTGGGTCCGTTTGGAACGGATATTAGTGGGACGAGTAGGGTGCAAACTCCTAGTGTAAGGTCTGAAGGAGGTGGACTTTCGGGTTCTGGGAGTGAAGGTAGTGGAAATGGGAATGGGACTGGGAATGGATATGAGGATAGAGGCGGGGGGAGTGGAGCACATGTTTATGGGGGTGGTGTGATGCCGGGAGGGGCTTCGTACCAGAGGATTAGTGAGGAGGATGAAGGAGTTGGGAGGAAAAATGAGAGCGAGAGAGCGGGTTGGAAAGGTCATGGGAGAGGTGCAGGGAGTGTCGGGAGTATTAGTAGTAGTTTGGAGGATCTCTTGGGTGATAGGGAACCCAGTTTCTTTAATGTGGTGATGAATCCGAGGAGGACGTCGAGGGTTATCAATAGTGATTAGAGGGGCTAGCACCGCGTTTGAAACTTTGGGGACATTGATAGGTGGGCGATTTTGTTGGTGGACGTGGTTCGAAGTGGCTTGCGCGGATATTTGTAGGAAATCTTGGAAATTTTTGGCAATGGTCGGAAATATATGGTCCAGTCTGGTCCGGTCCGGTCCAATCTGTCTTGGCGCAAAGGTGTAACCTGGAGAATTGTAATAAATGGAATTTGGATGGATGGATGGATATCTAGGTAGTATACACATAATAGGATAGCATAGGATAGGGATACCTATGTGTGAGTTTATGTTTATTTACTTACTGAACTTGCATGTTTAGCTATGTCTCTATGTGCTTGTATACCTATATCTATACGAGTATATCTATGAATGTAAATGAGATCTTTCTCGGAATGGGATGGGATGGGATAGGAAAGGGGGTTACTTGGTGGGATTTTCTTCTGGGATGTGCTTTTTGTGGTAGGCTGGAGTAGATGGAAGAGGTGGAGAGGGGAAAGGGAAGGAGAAGGGGAGATGGGAATGAGAAGAGGAGAGAGGAAGGACATCGGAAGAATTTCGGAGGGGCATGAGAAGGGGTTCCAGAATTTCAGAATGGGTTTTGTTGCATATCTGTTTTGTTGGATTGGATGGACTGGATGGACTGAGTGATACCATGGGTCGGGGTAGTGGTTTAAACCTTTGGACTGGTATAATATGAATGAGACTAGGTAGTGAAACTGGGCTTGTAGTAAGTAGTACTATACACCTAAATAACCCCTAGCCAATGAACATTCATATCCAAGCGGAAGCAAAAGGAAGATATCTACTATCTAGAAATCCGGAGCAAGCACCAAGGCTCATCCATTCACAGCCATCTTGTTGCACCTATATCTGGGATAAGGGTATAGAGACGAGCGTTACAGAAGATTTGCTTGTATTGTTGCTTGTATTGTTTGCATGTTGCATGTTTGACTTAGAGGGCAATGCTCAGGTTCGGGTTGATGTTTAGGTTAAGGTTCAAGCTGCACTGAAGTTGGTCAGGGGGTACTGAAGCTAATCGAGTGCTTGATCGTCGTGGGTATAGGGGTAGGTAGAGGCTGAATGACTGGTCAACGCTTGATACCGGGACTGGTGAAGGAGGTTGACCTTTGGATGTTGAACGTGGGTGCGGGACTGCAGAAAGTGTTGGGGGTACTCTGATGATAGTGACTTTCAACCGGAAGCTGAACCAGGCATGCAGTGGTGGTGATCCACTGGCCAACAGATATTCTGACCTGTAGAAGTCTCGGGGTTTTATATACCCATCAAAAGTGATATGATGCAGATATGCAATAAAACTGAATGATCTTGAAGTCTGGCCTATTGAGAATTTGAGACTGTGTTTTACTCATTTGAGATGAGAAAACTATAGTGAGTTTATTGGTCTATGGAATTTTGAAGAAGTCTTATTGCATATCTTATTTTGATGGATATTCCTTTTAGGTATAGATTTGGGAATTTAGAGATTTGTTTGAGATTGAGGGGTGAAGGGTCAAAGGGTTGAAGGGTTGTAGCTAAACCTGAACTGATCGATAGTGGTTAAGTAACATGAATTCTTTCACATTTCTTATTGTTATTGACCTGAAAAAATATGTCCCCGAGAATCAGATGTGTATGCAACAAAACTCAGAAGTTGGGAAAGGTAACCAATCCCAGCTACATTGTATCTTGGACTAAGAAACTTTGTAGTAAATCTGATTTATGGTTTCAAGACTTTTGTTGCATATCTGATTTTGAAAACAACAGACTTTTAATAGTATACGACCTTTAGGTTCAATTTTGATTGGAGCTGTCTTTGATTATTTGAAACGAACCTGACCTGTGGAGGTGAAGATGGAGGTGAATGTGGAGGTAGGTAGTACTTCGATCCCTCTGATCATCATACATGGGAACCCTTCTAAAACATTCCCCGAGAACTCAGATATGCAACAAAACCTCCTTAGTCATGGGATATTACTAATCAAAGCTATAATTATCCATTATATATGGGATGAGAGTCCTACTTAGATTGAATTTGTTTATATAAGGATCCTGAGAATGAGTTTTGGATTTTGAGTTTTGATAGTAACCTCCAGATTCAGATCTGATTTGTTTGGAGCTTTGCTTGACTGGTCGGTCGGATTTGAATCTGAACTATGGAGGTAGAGGTGGAGGTGTTATCGATATATGTTATATATGTTCAAAAGTTTCCAGAGAATTTTCAATATTCAGATATGCAACAAAACTCAGAGAAATTCCGTAGATTAACAAATTCACTAGTTATAGCTTTAATTAGTAAGATCCCATGACTTAGAATAGAAGTCTTGTTGCATATCTGGGTACTCTGGAAACTGTTGAGAGGGTTCCCATGGTTCTCATCGATGAGGATTAGTTGAACCTTGGTCTTGAATGGAGAGAAATGATCTTTTGGCTTATAAGTTACTACAATATAGATACTATACAAATACTCTATCTAAATCTTCAACAACCATAATACTCTTTGTATCTGAATAGTAAACAAAGATTGATATACAACAAAATTTCTTATTTACATATCCAATCAAATAACCAAGACCCTGATTTATTCTAGTTTGTATATATTCCTATTGAACTGAGGACATTTGTTATTTATCTAATAAAAAAAGTATTGTTTAGGGCAAGAGCATCTTTGTGGTGAATGTGTCTCATGGTGTTGGTTCAAGGAGTTTTGTTATATGTCTGATCTGAAGGATAAAGGTGAGGTTCAGGTTGATATGGCAAGGACAAATTTCAGGCTCAGGTTGATAGCAAGGCTCATCATGAATCTGTAGCAAAAGCAACATTCAAGTTAAATTTAAAGTTCAAGTTCGGGCTCAGGTTCAGTTCTGTCTAGCACTGAGAGGCTAATCGGTCGATTCGACCATACCCTAAGGATTGGAGTTAGTACTCTGGTCTTTAAAACTCCATGCCCTCATTGATAGTGAACACCATCGATATGGCTGGTAGTACTTGTAGCTGATCCATTGTAGATTGAGAATAGTTATTGGATTTTATCGATGGTAGAGGCACAGAAGAAGTACTTGGATCTGATCGATGGTGGTGAAAGAAAATCAGTTGGGCCTGGTCGATGACTCGATGGTGATAAGAAAATGATATAAGGAATTTCGAGAAGTTTTCGTCTTTCCTTTTGTGATAATTTTTGTGTTTATATTAGGGCCAGCCTCTCAACTTGCTACTTAGTGACTAAAATTATAGAACTCTGGAAATACAATACGTTTGCTAGATATATTATAGGCTTTAGTTGTCCTACACAGTCTTAAACTGATGCAGGACTTCAATGGATCAATCAATGGATCAATCAAGTTTATATCTGATTCCCAAACCTTTGCCAACAACATCATCTAGTGAATGTACATGGTCAACACCTTCTGATATTCGGTCAGACTTCCTGGCCGTATATACTCAAACACATCAGGCGAAATCATATCTTCCTTTGGAGCAATAAGACCTAACAGACTAGGAATCAAGCCAATCGATTTCTGTGCCCAGTTATTGATACTTTTTTCCCACGCCACCTCCTTTCGGTAGAAAATATCAAACAAATTTATTCTGATTGCTTCCCATCTAGCTTACAGAGCTTTTTCAGGAGAGTGTCTTCAAATCGATTGATTTTGCTGGTCCTTGCAGGGAGTCTAGTAATAATATTCCCACTTTCTTGCCTTTGACATTTCTGAAAGTAAATGTGGCGTTGCAAATAGCTTTCTCCAAGGCATTGTGTCTTTTAAGGCTCAGATCATAGCGTTCTGTTAACGAATATTTTTCATTAAACAGATATTGGCCAGCCACTGTGGGTGTATCATTTCCAGTGGAAAATGCACCCGATTGCATGGGCATAGATGCATCGGCTTGCTCAGCCACACCGTTTATATCCAAGTTACCAGGTGTCAACGATCTCATCATCTGTCTCATCATCTGACGATGTTGTATGCGCTCGAACAGTTTCTTTTTGGCGTCAGATTGAACCTTTTCTGTTGACTGACGAGGCTTAAAATCAGTTGGTTGAGACCTGTTGACGCTCCACGTGGGTAAGAATTTCGCCGATGGAATGGATTCGGCTTCTTTTTCCTCTATCTCATCTTCTTTGAAAGCTGCGTAGACCTTTTCTAGCCTTTGTTTGGCTGTGATGCATATTTGCGTGTGGAGAAACATGTCGGTATTGAATCGATCTCCCTCTTGATGCGAAGATTCGTATGTACGGCAGGTCTCTGTGATGATAACAAAGGTTGCAGACCCTATATCATCTTTCACAAAAGATGACCAGCCAGGATTTAGTTTTCTTCCGTCGATGCGATCATGAGATGTGAGATCCCATGCCTGCAAAAGTTTATCTTCCCCAACACCCGTAGATCTCAGTGTTTTCAATATCGCTCTGAAACTCGACATGAAGAGCTTCCTTTTATTTGATGATAGGATTGACCAGATCGCAGAAAATGATTGATCAAGGGAGAACTCCTCGAGCATGGTCGTGAGCATCTGGAAGTCATCCTTCTCCAAGTTTCGACATATGTGGTGGCGAATGCTAGTATGCTTGAGGACTGTCCATAAACTAATTCTTCGTGCGTGTCCAGAACAACGACTAACATCCAAAACGACAAGATAATCCATATGATCCATATAATCCGGATTCGGGATATGAGATAAATCAGTTTTGATTGCATCAACCCAATCTTCAAGTATTACATCTTTTAAAGTCCAGCCTGCATCGAATTTATAAGTAAGTCCTAAAGTAACGTTGAGGTATTGGCCACCGGAAGCCTGCATTGTTCTTTCTTTCAACGTCCAGGAAGGTGCTTGGGTGCTAAGCTCAAATTCGCCATAGCGAAGGCTATATATATCGTGACACCTGCACATATTCATCTCGTTGAACTTGGGTGATTTCGAATATTTCCTAACCGTATTTTGTGGATCCTGTACACCAATCAAGAGGAGTTTGGTTGTGTCAATGAAGGTTGAATTTTCGATGGATTCTGTTTCCATCCAGCTATACCAATGACAAAGTGTTTCAGATTCTAGAGGTTGGAGCGGGCATGTGTGGTGTGCGATGCTCAAGAGCCTACCACCACGGGTCTCAATTGAACTCACAGTCGATGCTCTTGATTTTTCAAATCTGAAAGGACCCCATAACTCTGCCAGATCATCTATTGACGAAGAGAGATAAAAGCCATCGAATTCCACTTTGGATAACTTTGAGTGTGTTGGTATAAAGTTGAAAGCCCACACTGGCTGTTTTAGAAGCCCATTCAAGCACCGTAAGCGTCTAGCTGCTAAGAATATTTCACCACCAGGAGTTTCGATGTGCAGCCCATCATTAAACGATCCATTCGGTGTGTACCCCGAATCATCAATATGCAATCTAACAAATGACAACAATGCAATATGTAGTACAGCTTGTACAGATGTCAATAAATGGCAAATATCTTGTTGTCGCTTGCCATTTTCCCCATCAACAGCCACTGCTGTTGGAGGAATGCCCAGACCAAGGCTTGCAACAATGTAGAATAACATTTCCGCGATATCCTCTAGAATGGTATTCTTTTGATGGAAGTTCAAGGCCGCTTCCCTGAGGAGTTCGAGTAGCAGGGCTAAAGTGGGCATACTAATCTGCCGAACGTTCAGGACTTTAGGTCGATCAGCATCCGCCACAATGATATTATACGTTGGGCCACTGCAAAACCTTTCATTCTGTAATAACTTTGCGCCTCCTATTGTCGAGGATAAGGTTTCCATGCTAGCCACAATTTCAATGTAGAAACCATATTTTTCCGGTCGCTGGTCAACGGGGAGAAGAGAGAACTTGGGCGTTTCTGTCACAAGATCGAAGTTTCGTAAAGGAATGACCATGCTATAATAAATTATCTTGATTTTTTTAAAGGTCTTATCTCCCAATTGAATAACTCTGTGTTCAAGAGTAGAAACCTCTTTGAAGTACAAAGCCGGATCATTGACGAACATCTCAAGCGCTGACGTATCATTGTTTCTCGACACATGGTTGCTAACTGGATGAATGTTTTCGAGCCGTTGATATGCTTCACGTGATGATTCGGGGAGTCCCAGTGGGTTCTCGAGCTTTGGACTCGCCATAGATCCAGAGTGCTGTCGTAGGTTCATATAGTCTCGATGTTCCAGGTTGCCACACCCACTCTCATGGTTTGATTTGGTATCTAAATTGTCATTTATGAAATTCATCCCAGCATGCTTATTTTCGACTTGAAACTTTTTAGTTTCCAAAAGGTCTCGTTTTCCATTTGTGCGTTCAGGTTTTACTTCGTGTGATTCGGCCGCGATGGCATGTTGAGAGGTCAGGGAACTGTCATGATCTCCCCTTCTCCTGGTCGAATGCTGGAGTCGGGACACCGCATCCGCACTGGGCGTGATGTCCAAGAATTCTTGGCTTAGAGGTCCACCATAAATGTTGACGAATGGTCTGTAAGTAGCAGCAAATTGAGCAGCCGAGGTAGTAGATTGATTAGTCGATGTAGTAAATTGACCAGATGTAGAAGTAGTAGATCCCAAAGTTCTCGTCACGGACGGTGTTGGAGTTGATGGACTTATTCTCGCGTACTCGATGGAACAGGTACCGCATCCTGTACAGTGGGAAAACTCGATCGGTAGTCCGGGCGTTTCATCAGAACACATACAGCAGATCCAAAAAACCGGTCCTGTAGACGACATAGTGTTATAAATGACGGAAATTTTGTCTTGAATTTATATAGAAATTTCAAGGTATGATACTCTCACGTTTCATTATTAGTCCTAAGATGCAGAAGTGTTATACACTACAGTAAGTGCGATTGGAGTGTGGTACCGCGACAAGGCTCTCTTAGCTAACACATCCAAGAACGCCATAATGTAAATATATTCCTGCAGAAAAGGCTAGAAGCGCCATCAAATTATTACTCGTAAATAGATGAGGCTATATTCGCCCAGTTGACTACTACTAATTTAAAAGCAAGCAGAGTAAGGCTGCGAATATGCACTGAAACCAGGCTAAATGTTCACCACAGTCTCATTTATCGCCCTGTACTTGCCTGTACTCGGTGAAGCTTACTCGGTGAAGCTCAAACGCTAGGTTTTGTAACTCTCTGCATGCGCTTCCAGACATGATAGCCTGTGACTGTCCTTGACCGTACTCATTCAGCAAGCTGGTTAAGAAATATGGGTTAACTTTTCAAAACCACAACATCTTACCTAGACTTCCCTCCCAACAAATTAGCGAAAAGAATAAACCAATCAAAGCTCCTCGCCAACGACACCACTCCACTTTTATCGCCACAATACTCACAACAACGTTCAAACACACAAACGCCATATAGGAGCGTGTCTAGGCTCATAGAAAATTCCTCTGGTATAGAACTTTTTCGGTAGCTGAACGGAACCCTTCAAAGTTATTTGACGATATACGGGTAAAGCGTTTATATTATGATGACTAGAGAGCTATGTTCTGAAGGTTCAGAGACTCTCACATAGAGTCTCTGATAATCAAGCTAGGCTAGTGGCTAGTAGATAATGCACCATATTAACAGAGATGAATGGGGTTTGTATGCACCCTACCTATCCGGAGGTGGTTGATTACAGCGCACTAGCGGTCGAGGTCGACTAAATGCGCCAAGACGACTCGATGAGATGTTCGATGGGGGAAGTGGGGGTTTGGGATATATGTAGGTTGGGTGAGACGGGATTGGGGTTTCATTTGTATATAGCCTCAGCCAGGACCAGGACCAGGACCAGGAGGCTGCGCAACGCGGGTACCCGTGGGTAATCTGCCCCATAGATAACCCACTGGAGGTTGTCGATTATCTGCAGATATGTATCTAGATCACAAAATGGTCTGTTCTGTGAATAGATAGGTTATCTGTATCATTGATCTGTGGATAATCTATCAATTTGTAGATAATAGAGTAGATACAGCCCATAGGTTGATAGGTTATCTATTCAGATTTTCCAATTATCTGTTCCGTTGATAGATTATCCATGGATTACCTATCAGGTCGATAATCTGTCCCGCGGGTACCCGTTGCGCAACTTTTAAATTAAAATTAAATAATAATAATTATAATTTGGATATGGATATTGTGAGTGTTTTTGGTTAGGCTACTTGGTGATGTTGTTTCTGCGAAGCTGGGAGAGGGTAATGGCATAGGGAGGGTGGATTTATGTACCGCATACTCTATTGTACAATGTATATGGTGTGTCTGCGAGGAGTTATGTTATATATTGGGGTTGTAATTACTGTTGGCTCCGCTCTTAACTTGTAAGGGAGTGCATATTGGTCTCATTACCACTGCCATTGACGAGCAGTCCTCGGAATCTTGTATCCAATGATCTTAATTTCCCCTCATATCCTATCCTGCCATACAGAAAGGGATAGGCTCACTGGAGTCAAGGGTTAGGAGCAGGAAGGAGTGATAAGATATTTTTCAGGTCAGGAGTGGAAAGGAATAGTTGGAAATGAGGTTAGGAAAGGATAGGAACAATAAGGAATACCACAAATATACTTGTAATGTCAAAAGATTTTATAAGTATACAGGGGATTGAATTAAAAGGAAAAGGACTTGGAATAATTAATTAAATTTTCTATATACCACCTCCTACCTCAAAAGAAATCTCATCCCCATCCCCCATCCCCACAGAAAACCTTACCCCTCCTCTCCTATCCTAGCTCTAAGAATATGAAGGAGTGCGATATTTTGGAGGTTAGGAGCAGGATAGGAACGTTTATTTTATAACGGTTAGGTGCGGGATAGGAAAGAAAGGAAGAGGAAGGAGCACTAAGGAGGGGAAATCAAGATCACTGCTTGTACCTCTAGTAAGTAGTAGAGAACCTGATAGCTGCTCAAATACTCCATTTCAATACCTATATGCCATAGATAAAGTGTTTTATTCCAATCGGCTAGGGCTTTTATATCTAGAAAGATTTCTGGAGGATGGGAAGAAGGTGTGAGAAAGGGAGGAAAGTGAGGATTTTATACTGTATGAGAATGATAGAGAGGGAGCCAGGTCTCATCAATGCTTTCGGAACCTTAAGAACCTTTAGTCTCTATAGTATTGACTTGGTCAAGCATATATTGCTTTACTCAAGTACTGTACCTGTTGTTTTGGGCTCTCTGTAAATGCAGCTAAGTACATACTGGTGTATCATAGGCACATCTCTACCCTCTATCCTAGAAGAAAGAAGAAGGAAGACAGTATTCATTGTTCTTGGGCAGGCACACTCTATCATATCACATTGCAACAAATAAGGCTGAGATGTTTTAGAGTTGTAAGACTTGGTATTGTTACTATCTTTGTTTGAGAACTAGTGTGTTGTTGGATACATGCTAGTGCTAAACTTTGATGTGGTATGAAACCTGAACACACAAGTGTGTTGCAATTATCGAAAGAGAGAGGAGATGTGCTGAGATTTCCGTGTTATCCTTGGATACCATGTGCGATACTTTGAAAGGACTATGTGAGAAGATGTAAGAAACAAAGTTGTCGTGGTGTGTTGATGCTTGGCATAGCTTTATCTGTTTGTGATTGTCGTGTCTTGGTTCTGCAGTTGGCACACTATAAAGGAGGAGCGGTCGGTGTCAGTTCTGCTTTCAGAAACATAGGCTAGAGAGATCTGAAAGATCTTTGAGTGAGGGGGTAGAGATAAGCAGGAAACAATAGGACTCACAATTCAGCTGGTTTTGGGTCTCCACAACTCTGAGTCCTTGTCCTCAAACAAACTCTACAATCCCACCCACATCATAATATCGAAATGTTCCGTCTGGGTTGCCACGTCCTTAGTCTTCGGAGCCTTTCCCAATAATTCTAACATCTCAAATGCCTCCGCTTGAGCTTCCTCATCTCTCCACTTCCTGTCATAAGCTTGCCTCCATTTCTCCTCTGTCCATTTCGCATACGGAAGAGTAAATTTGCCTTGCTTTTCCTTTAACTCTCCTATACACCTATAATGACTCTCCATGCTTCTCCACGATGGCACAATCTTTGCATGCTCCTCCACAAGCTCCACAAGTTTGGTCTTGTACTCCACAAGTCTCTCACGAATGGTGATGATACCTTGCTCAACTCGCAAACAGAAATACTGATAGGCTTCTAATAACCAGTCCTTCTGACTGGCTCCAAAGATCAGCTCGTCTGCTGTTTTTGCTACCCCTACTACATCATCGTGGTCTGAATCAAACTTTGCATGATCTATCAAGTGTGTTTCAAAATCAGCACGAGCTTCTTCCGTACACTCCTTTCTCTGGCTTTTATAACGTCCCAGCAACTGCTTCATGTGGTCATTTCTTCTCAAAAACCGAGCTTCTTTTGTTTTAAACTTATCACACAGTTCTGTTTGTTTTTGAATCACAAATAGATCTCTGTGATACATTTGATTCACATTGAACCATTCTTTCATGAACTTAGTTAGATCCACGCATTGCTAAAAAAAAAACAATCAGATCAGTGACAAAAGAGTCATAAAGATAGAAGAGTACTCACAGAATTTGAGAAAAACAAGGCAATCCTTTGTATGGTAGCCTGTCTTCTAGATTGAGCGGACTCCTCCATGGTTTCACTTAATGCGACCAAACTTGTGATGGGTTTGGAAAGATCGGGAAGTGAAAATATGTATGAGAGAATGGTTGTTGAGGCGAAGAATTCAAAAGAAGATATCCGAAGGTGCTCGGTCAAGGGATATGCCGAAGATCACAATTCACTATGTCAACCAGGCATCAATAAATCTCAAAGAGATTTGATGAATCATATAACAACAGTACTTTAATATTGATTTCACTCGGAAAGTCATGTGAGGTCATACTGTAGTGAAATCTAAGTCCTTCATATAAGATTACTTTACTTGATTGAAAAATTGGAATATCATTGTGGTTATTACCCCCTTTCCCCTCTCCCCTCTTCCCTAATTTCAAATTTATAACTTTGACCATGAGTCAAAGAAATATATCGATATCTCGTATTATTATTAACTGATGAAACGCAAGCCAATCACAAATCAATATACCTAGTATATCATACACCATTCAATACTCCTCTCTGTCTACAGTGTGCACCACTACCTCTTCATCCACCTCTATTACTTTACTTCCCAATAACTTACGCGAGGAAGCTCCCTTATTCACTCCTTTTCTCCGTCCTAATCGATGATGATGAAGCACGCTCGCCAGCACGCTCTGTAGCTTCTCACGCCGTAGATGTTGCGATCCACCTCTGATGTCTAATCTAACGCTTCTTGTTTGTGCTTTGGGAGGAAAGCTGTCGTTTCGCTCTCTTCCTCTTCTATCTTCACCTCTTTCTCAACCAACGGCTCACGAAAATGGCGTTTAATCAAGAAGTTGCTTTCCAATTGCTGCAAGTATTCTGCTTGATAGTTACTTGAGGTCCAATTCTGTCTCTTGTAACGTTGTTAATTGGCATTTGAAGGAGAGGAGACGTCCGGGGAAGAATACGGTGTGGTCAATGGGGAAGAATCCGTCGTATCTTGATCACTCGTATCAATCACCAACTCCTTCCCTTCCCTATGCTTCTGCCAAACTTCTTTATTGTTCTCTGCCCACTTCATCTTGGCCCACAAGCACTTTTCTCCAAACTTCTCAAGCTTTTGTTCCTGTCCAACTAGGCCTGCAATCTTCCGATTGTATTTCTTGATATTTTTTCGTACTTCAAGAAGTTCTTTGTCGTTTTTGGAGGAAAGTTTGATTATGCTGGCGTGTGATATCTTCTGTTGATTGGAGCAAATTAGTCTTATGGTAGAGAAGCAGTGGGTGGGGTTGAAGTTGATTTACCATGGCGATGCTACTTCTCTTAAAGGAGTCCAATTTCTTGAGCTGATGTCTTCGGATTTTGGCTCCTTTTGATCCTGCTGAATTTGAAGCTACATTTGCGGTCTCGAGTTTAGTGGTCTTCATTTTGTCACCTAGTAGAAAGCAATGATTAGCAGCGATCTGACTTCATAAAGTAGCATATACCAAGTAAGTATATCAAAATAGTGAACACTTCGACAAGGAAGATATACTTGACTTTGTAGTTTTGACATACAGACAAATGTTGTCTAGATGTCATACTTACTCGCAGAATCTGATGCCAATAGGTTGCAATCACTCTCGTTGATAGATTTCCTGGCTTGTGTATGCTTCACATATGTTGGGCATTCGTTATTTTCTTGTAAACGTCGAGCTATTATACGTGGCTTAATTTGTGGTTTAAAGTGTAAATTGAGGTTGAGAAGTTTGAGATTGGGGGTATGGCAAGTGGATATCTGAAAAGGGAAAGAACTAAGGATATAGGCGATCTAAAAGAGACCCATGCTATTGTAGTATATCTGAGAACAAGAATGGTTTGTAAAGTCTGGGATCCATCATTCGAAATTGAACTATTATCCTCTAGCATTCACGAATCCCCGTATCCCAAACCTATTTGACAGCAATGATGCTGATGTATTCATCTTATCTATGGATGGCTTTCCTTGTATTTTACCCAGCAGAATCGCTCGACCTTCCTCTCCCTCTCCCTCGCTCTCTATGGAAAGAAGAAGAAAAATAGTGCAGTTAGAAAGATGGGTCAAGATCTTGAAAGAAATGAATTGCAAGTAACGAGACGACTTCAAAACAGCCCACCCCATAATACCACGCATCCAACGCTCATCAGAACTCTGGTTCACAAAATATCCCCTGTGCGAGCATCTGCTTCTCTTTGTAGATTGAATCTTTCGCCAGCATGTCTTTTGCCAACTTCTCCTTATCTCTGCTCTTCTTGACAGCTTCCTTAAGCTCGCGCGTTACCTAACTTACCTTTCCAAGTTCGAAATGCGTCTGCTTTTTTAATAAGGTTTTCTCCTCTAGTCGAAGAGTGACAAGTAGTTGTACATGTTTCTGTGTCTTTGTTTGGAAGTCTTCCTGTTGTTCGCGAATTGCATGCTGATTTGCGTAAGTTTGTCCTCGACTGGTGCCTATGCTTCTCGCTCTCCGTTCAGCGTCCTTAGCATTGAACGCCTGGCTTCATCCATCGAGAGTCTCTCATTGAGGGGATGGTGACGCTGCAAAAGATTTTTTTTTCGATTTTTTTTTGTGAGCCTTATTCACTATTTGGTAGTGATTGTAATTCTTTTTGGTGTGGGCCCTGCTATCCAGTTATTTTAAGAGTATATACACACGTCTCTGTTCTCGCTTAGCCAATTGTTTATTTGTAAAAGTGGGTCAGCAGTTAGGTACTACCCCTGAGCCTTCATTTATGGAGGACTATATACCACCAGTTCATTCAAATTAACGACGGATAGATAGATGAACAACCAACTAGAAGGTCGATTTTGTTTTCTTGACACCATTCACTGGTCAGAAACTCAATATTCCCCCTCTCCTCGCTCGAGGAGTCCTCGACTTATTTCTCCATCTTCTTACCATAATTCCCAATTTCAAGAATCTTTTTTATTCAAGCGCAGTTCAAAATTTGGAAAAATTACATGTCAAACCATAATCTGAAATCATCCACAGCAATAATGAAGCTCAATAATAACGAGATGACGGGACACTATCAGCGAAGTGGAAAGTTTAATTTTCGTACCTCATTCTCTCTTATATCAACACCGCACCTAACTGACACTACTTCCCTCTAGTTCGAGTCGGGGTGTTTAAAATCGTCACCCAATAATCCGTAGCCCAAGTCATTAGAAACGCTTTTGTGAAGGCTTTTCGCCTAATTAAATTTATATGTGAGAGTAAAGTCTTGACGCTATATTACTGGATGATAGCATAGAAAGAAGTTTGCCGTTTACTGCATCAAAGATGGAAGTAATGCAGAACTTCCCTCAAATGAAAGCCAATTGATTTTAACATTTGCAAGATGAGAATCAGAAGAAGTATTTGCTTCGGCAGAGATCGTGTCGATCTAGTATTCATGACCATTTCTGTATTCCGAATCGCCATTCGCATGTGTGTCTTTCTTTGGTTTTGAAGTTGGTGATCTGAAGATGGAGAATATTAGTATTTATTCAAGGGAGTTGAAAGGAATGATGAGATGACATCGTAGAGTATGAACTTACATCATAAATAGCCTTACTTATTTCCTCCCGTTCTCACCACCCTTACTCTGCCTCATACTTCGTCTGTAGCAATGTATTTTTACCCTCTTGTCTTTCCCGAAGCATACTCTCCACATTATCCGCTAACTCCTTCTTCGCAGACCCCAACAGCTTCTTCTCGAGTTCCTCCCCTCGATTCTGGATAGCCTCTAGCTCTTTTATCTCATTTCCCGAATCGCAAATTTTAATTTGAAAAACCTCAAGGTTTCGTTTGTTGATAATTTTGAGATCTTCGCACCGTTCCATCATTTTTCTATATTCCTCGATTTCCTTATCGTTTGCTGCCACGCGTCTTTCTATCATTTTATGGCTTGTGCGGAAGACATTGATGTCTTTCTTCTTTTGTTCGACGGCCTCTCTAATCTGAAGACGGATTAGTTTGGTCAGTCTGGATACAAAGATGGGGATGTATATGGAGAGGATGAGTGGCAGAGTGTTACTTACCTTTTGAAGAGGAATGATTTCGGTCTTTTCAGAGTTTTCGGTCATCTCGGAGGCCCTTCTTTTCGGTGGCATATTTTCGATATGGACGATATCAAGTTCAGGTTTGAGGTTGAAGTTGTTGACGTTGTTGACGTTGGGAAAGTTGAGAATGTCGTAAGGTATTGAAGTAGGCAAAATGGGGACTGAATAGATCGAGTGAATATCACGAAAGAAAGAATATGGATCCGCATGTACATTTTCACTTTTCAAGATCGAAGTAGGAAGTTGCGAGAGTATTTGTTGGCATCAGAAGATCATGTGAAGTCATCGTTCTTGCCATAGTAGTCAGATCTGCCTGGTGACTAAAACCTTTTCCATCACACACATTGCTTCTGGCATTACTTTTCAAAGATCTGAAGAAGGGGAAATATCAATATTAGGTAGCGAAGGCGAAACAGATAATGTATCAAAACGAAGAGGTTGTGACTTACACCACAACACATAACTTCATCCCCTCGAAATCCTTCTTTCTCCCATTCTCCAATGAAATTTCTACCTTATTCAATTCCTCTCTCATTCTCTCCTTCGATATATCTATCCAAGGCTTCATGAACTCCTTTTTCAAGCTCATCTCCTCGAGCTTGAGCTGCCTTATAATGATCAGCTTGAGGTTACCCCACGGCTTGCCCAAAAGGATCTGAGTAGAACCTCACTTCGTCGAGTTGAGATATTATTGGATCCTGAATATGAAGAGGAATACAGTAATGATTGAAAAGTAGACTGTAGTGCCTCACGCCACTTGCCACACGGCAAACTCCCAAATATCTCCTCATCATTCCTTTTCCATATCCGCCAAAGCATTCTTCACCTCCATTTTCACCTTCTTATTGTAGTCCCGCCACCACTGCGTGCTTTCCATAAGCAGCTTCTCTTCCTTCAATAGCTTCACAACTTGTTGTTCATGTTCTCGGATCTTTTCTCGATGTCTACGGATCTCTGCTTTTATTTGCGCAAGCTCTTGAAGTTCGGATTGGATCATGGTTCTCTGAATGATTTCATTTTGCTTGGCCTGAATGCATAAAGTTGGTAAGGCTTGGTGCAGATACAAAGGAAAGTGGGGGTAGGGTAGTGTAAATGTACTCACTGATGTGAGGTTACTATCTTCAAGTATGACGATCAGCTCGGAGGTAGTCAATCTCGCCATTTGCGGAGGGAGAGTTTTGGGTGGAGATCTTGGGTGGAGATTTTGGTTGGAGATTTCTGGTGGTTGATTTAGAAATATGAAGATAAGGCAACAAGGTATCAAGGTATAAGATATGGAGGATGGAAGATCTATAGCTGCCAGGTGATTAACTTTCAAAGAACATGACAAAATAAAGGAAATTCACTCGAGAAAAATGGCAATCAGTATTTGTGAAAGCATCTTCTCATTCGAAAGTTATTATCATCCAGAAAACAATGAAAGTCGTTGCGATAGCTACATCTACACAGTTTCCTGAAAACCGGCTCCAAACCAAGCAGCAGCAAGTCCACCCTCACTATCGCCTGTGAAAATCTTAGAAACGGGATGTTTAGTTGTGGGGTTGCACGTGATCAATCGGTGAACAACGGCATTGTAGATGAGGTATCATAGCTTACCCTCCGATGCGCAACCTCGAGTATTCTTCTCTCCATCCTTCGTTTCTCCGTATTTCCTCACTTGCTCCTTCTGTTATATGTTCGTCCATCATCTGAAATGTTACCCCCTGCTCCATGCCACGATTTCTACACTGGAAAGAAGAGCAGATTTCTTTAGTCTGAAAACAGACCGCTAAAAGAAGTAAGACATTAGAATTGAATATACTCGGTGAATCATAGACAAGTTCCTCTATAGCTAGATCAGGTGTCACTGTGTCCACTCTTCCAGCATCGGAGACTTTCTTCTCTTCTGGAGTCACAGGTACGATTCACCAGTACTGAAAAAGCGCAGGTAGTTTGCATTCGAGTCAGAGGTTGTTAGACCCCGAGGATGCATTTTAGGGACGGAGAAGACTTCAAACTACCCCTACACCTCCTAGCGTACTTTAAGCGAGATCTTAGTAGCCTAGATGCTAAAACTCAAAACTCACTGCGTGGAACGTGCAATTAGTTAAGTTCTAGAAAGACTCCTACATATTAATGGAGATTACAGGTCTTTATGTATTGTAGGTGTGTCACCGGTGGGTGTATTGGTGAAATTGTGATAGTCTAATTAAAGAATATTCACTGGATTAAAAGTATTCCACGTGAGTAAGCAACTCAAAATACTTTTGTTGTATGTCTGCTATAGGGTGTGAAGCCTATAATGCCACTGTAAATCTTTGAAGCCATCTAAAAATGACCTAAGTAAGAACTTTCCCACTTCAATCCCCACCCTTGTCACATCTCGTCACATGTCACCTAACTCACACACCTGCCCACCACAATCAATTTCTAAAAGCAAGCAGTTGGTCAAGTCAAAAAGAAAGATTATGAGATGTCATTGCTGTGCATAGTCTCAATGATTTAACACCATAAGCCTTATCCCAACCTAAACCTACAATTTGCATTCCTGTCCTTAGCATTGCTCATCTGAATCGAGGAAGAGTGAACATTGTCTACAACAGCAGATGAACTATGACCCGAATTTATATCCCCCTCCCCTCTCTCCTCCCAATTTCCCTCAATACCATCCTATCACTCCCTTGCCGCGTCAACAATATCCCTCAACTTCTCAAGAGCCAAACGTGTCAACAAAGCCTCCAACTCCACGACTAAATGATCCGCTGATTCTCTCCGAGTAACGTCGCAGGCTCATCTAACGAGATTCTCGTAAATTTCGTCTAGCAACGCGGGTCTTTGTTCTAGGTCTTCTAGAGCTATTCTAATCTGTGGCTGGGGAAAGGAGCGGATGATCAGTTTCCAAGTGTGCAACTTGAGTGCAGGAATGTAAAACTTACAAGTTCTTCTGCTACAGCTCGAAGGGCGGCTGACTGGATACCGTTGGAGTTGGCCATTCTTGAGATGGAGATGAGCTTGGTTATTGTAGAGGTAGTTGGTTGTTTTGTTGGTTTTTCGCTGTGTAGACAGTTTTGTTTGATGTAATGTGGAAGTTTTGGAGGAAAACTGATGGGGTTTGGGAGAGATCTAGAATCTATATAAGCATGGAAGGGCGAATAAGATATCGTGATCGTATAACCGACCGTACCGTAGGGAAGAAAATGAATTCAAGTATTCACCGTATACTGTAGCTATTGAAAGCTAGAATCTGCTCTTGGGAAAAGTTGTCAAGACTTCAATAAATGCATTTAATACGGCACCTATCATTGTCCAGAAGACACGGGTACTGTATCGAGACATAATCTTGCCATCCTATAACCAGCTAACCGTAAACTTAAAGCATGCTTTATCCCATTGTACGCCCGTTCTTGAAATCTGGAACTCGAAATTGCCGGTGTTATTGAGAGGAAACGTTAGTGATGCTTCTTGAAAATCATTTGTCAAATGATCTAATAAAAGTAAGTTGGGATGGTCATGGGATATCTCACTCAACAAGTAAGCTCAAGCATCTTGATTGAGCCTGTATGCTTTTTTGGGTCTTTCTCCCTTCTCTTCCTCCCCCAATCAATACTCACATAAAGTTTCCAGGTAAGGCTCATAACAGTCTACACGACGCTCCAACGACATGATTATTCTTCTGTAACCTTTAGAATATGCCCGTCTTCTTAGATGACAGAACCCGAGGCGAAAATCTGATCGATTCAGACTATGTTTAAGGGCTGCTGCTGTGGCTAGTTCAAACCTGTATCGTGATTGGAAGGGGGAGGGGGCTGGACTAACTTGATATCCACTCGGGAGGGACTACGGTGTAAAATAACCTACACCATTGATTTCCTCATCGCTTGAAAACACAATCAAGAGTTCAGGAGTTTAAGTTGAATATGGGCTACCTCAAAGAGGAATGATATCTCGCCAAAGAAGAACTTCATTTGACCAGGTTTGGAGTCGATATGTACATGTATACTTTTATGAAGACAATTTCATGATTGAGGTAATAATATATAATATGTATCATCATTCGCCTAGAGAATAATGGAAACTAACATCAAATGGGGAAAGAGGGTATAAGGGAAGAGGGGAGAGGAGAGGAAGAAGGAATTAAGGGGAAGGGGAAGGGGAAGGGGAAGGGGAAGGGGAAGGGGAAGGGGAAGGGGGGAAGATAAGGGATGAAGGGGAGAGGGTATACGGAAAGAGAGGGCAAAGGGAGGGGGAAGAGAAGGTATAGATTAGGAGGGACTCTTTGCTATTAGATAAAGATTATATTTTGGTTGATCAGTAATTAATTGATGATAACAGTGAGTCAATAGTGATACCGATATATTGTTAGCGAGTCAGCTGGGAATTTATTGAGGGTTAGCTGATAGCTGACTGACTGACTGATTGGGCACTCTGCAGGGAGCAACTTATACCTCGGTGTATACTGTCAAGTCTATCCAGACTGCTGTTCCTTAGAGCCGCTTGTGAAGTCTTGTGAGATTGTTGTGTTCAAATTCGCATTTTAGCAACGCATTTCACCTAACTTTCCTCCAGCTTTCTCTCCTCCTCTAGCTCCGCGACGCATTCTTTTGTGCACGACTATGATGTTCTCAGTTGTCTTATATTCGTGGTAGTTGATGTAGTCTTACGTTGTCTCTGCCTTCTGCCCCTGCATAGAGTCTGCGATATCATCTTCGTAGCTTCGTATATCTTGTGGAACTACGGAGAGAGTTGCGGAGATGTTGTTACGGTGTTGGATCAAGTCGGTGCGTACCTTTACCTAGTAGTATAGAGAGGTTAGTTTAGAGAATAAACTCGAGAAGAGATGGCTACGTTTGATCTTACCAGAGCTTTGGAGACTGATCGAGCCATTTTTCGGTCTCCTTGGTATCAAGTCAAAATTCCTCGTGCGAAAATTTGTTAACAAGATTGAAAAGATGTTTTGGACTTGGCGGAGTCAAAGAGGTTAGTGATCAATGAGTACTTCATAAAAAGAAACGGAGGCTAAAAGATCTCACGGGTCAAAGATCGGAGCCAATCATTTTGAAATTCTTTTGCTGTAGTGAAAGTAACTTGTCATGTATCATTTGATGATGAAGAGAAGCAACATGAATCCTGGACCCCTGTGGTTGCTGTATCCAATCTATGTGTGATGTTGCTTCTGTTCGCAATCCTAACATACACTTCATGCATACTATCCCGACGTTCGTCCATCTGCAGAAGCAAAGGTATCAGCAGTGATCCTCTAAAGTAGCAATCCGAAGAGAGTATCAAAATCTTCGAGGAATGATAGCCTGCGCATCTACTTACGTATCTCATGACTTCTTAACCTTTCCATCCATATCCTCGCCTCCATTCAAATCCACACCTCTATCTCCATCATCGTCTCCATCCAAATCCACATCGGCATCTCCATCTTCATTACTAGAAGCAACCAATCCGTAACAGTCCTTATGTTCGGCAACCGTCTCCTGGAATTCTTTCTGAAAATTCACGAGCCGTTCTTGAAACTTTCCTAGTTCTGTGACATGTCTGTCGTTCTTGTCTTTGTACTTCTGAAGCTCCTCCTGCGTTTGTTCTATCTGTTTCTTTAATTTCAGAGCGTTTCGGTCGAAATCTGCACTGGACTTTTTCTATAAAGAAAATGTTAGTGAAATTTCAAGTACGCTTCAAGTTGAAAGAGCCAAGTAGAGATGAGTGCAAAGTTGAGGATGGAGTTGACTTACAAAGCTCTCTTCAAGCTCCTTTACTTTGGACATTTTGTGTCGCAAGGAGGATGAGGTATTGAATTGGGATTGTGGAGTCTGGAGTCTGGAGTCTGATGATGTGGATTGGGTTTTCAAGTGCAGGCTTCTTTTGAGATGCCCTACATGTAGTTGAAAAGAGAAGTAAATATGAACCTCGGGAAAATCGGAAAGTAAAATTTACACAATCCAGTCTGGAGATCAGATGTAATCCTGAGACGTTTTGATAAAGTAGAAGTATACATAGCAAATCTCCCCATCTTCCATGCTTTGACACATTTCTTTCAAACTGTATCAAACAAACTATTGTCTACATCCTTATCCTCATCCAAACTCCAAAATCTAGGAATACTAATGAAGCTAAGAGCTGAATGCAAAATATCTGTAGATGAGACCGCATTCTAGTTAGCCTCTCTTCTCCTTCTGTAGAAACACTAAGATGTGGTTTATATATGTTCAAAACGTGAATCCTAGACGAATACAAATAATCTTCAAAGGCAGAAAAGAAACTCACAGAGTGGTACCCCATTTGCTGCACCAAGAATAAGTGTTTATATATTCCATCTCCACCTTCTGGTTGCCAGACCGAATTTCATTTAGAAGTTCTGCGAGAAGACCGTGGTGACACTGTAATATTTCTTTCTGAGGCCCTCGTAAGATTTATAGAACCTGAGTACTCGCTATTTGACTGGCAAGCTTTATTTCTTGAGCCCTTTAATTGAGCTTTATAGCCTAGATATGCGTTGCTTGAAGAACCCTTAGGTTGTTTTCCAGACTCACAATTCTACTTTCATGATTCGAAACCCTAGTCTTCAGTCCTTCGTTGGCTTGTTCGGGATTTCTGATTCGGCTGAAGCATGCGGGCTATAGGTAGATACATCTGTTAGTTATATTCATGACGAATTCGGGGCGGATGAGGAGTTAATTGGGAACATACTGCTAATTGTTGATCATGAATTACTGTCACAGCATTTCCGGGCGCTACGGTAGCACCGAGTATGCCAACTCTCTTCGCTTCTTCTGGGCATGCATACTTACCGTGCCTGATTCGGAGTAGAATTAGAAATCAATAATTGAGTGAATTCAAAGTGCTTGTGGGGCCTTGGAACATGCTCCCGTTTGCGTGCTCCAAAATACCAAGAAGTCGCAAGACGGATATATCTAAAAATGAAATTACTTGCACATTTGAAGACACAAGCTGTGAAAATTGGAGTTTAAAATTGAAGTGTGGAGGAGAAAGTGTTCTGTTGCATCGGAGACGAGGATGGAGAGACGCGAAAGTGAAATTTTGATGCTCGCAGATAGGATATTGGTGTGAGTCTATGAGTAAAACTCTCCATTTAGGAAAGATTCACATCTTGTGGTGATACTGAGGGCAGCTTTGGAAGAATCCGTTTAGAAGAATCTGTGATTGTCACGTTATCCAAACCAAGATCATACGTGGAAAGAGTGATGTCGACGTCTGCGTATCCTCCCTTCCTCAACCTATACATAGATGACCTCACCATATCTATCTCAACTGTACAGGTAACTATTCCTGGTGTTTATTCATCCTCAAATGTATGTAACCAGAATAAAGGAAGAATCCAAGAATCGCAGCAAAAAAACCAAATTCCAAGCAAAATTGTCAAAACAAAACAATAGTATAATACCCATCCCAAGTTCCAACTCATCTCCTTCTCTCCTACCAGTGGAGAGAGAGAGCCCCACAAAAAAAACCACAATCCAGCAATCAAAATGACAAAAGCTTAAGAGCGCGACGCTCTTTAAACCCCAATGAACCGTCCTCGTACACATACTACTCGAGTATAATGTACGGATTCGTCACTGCCCGATCGAAGCCCTGCCAATTGCTAAGTAGAAAGGCGGACATCATTCACGAGAATGATGAATTCTACCGCTGCGCCATCGAGACGTGGGGGTGCTTGGATAGTTGTTCGCTAAATGTATTATATATACGCGTGCTGGGGAGGTGTTTGAGCCTAAGGGTAATTTCATAATGACGCTTTGATGCTTTGATCATTAGTAGGGTATCCCCCAGAGAGCTCTGATTGTATCATCTAGAACATATCTTATCAAACAGATATATGTTCTTCTACCTTTTTTCTCCAGCTTTAGCCATGATGAGGTTCCTACAACAGTTTCATCAACAAAGGTCGAAAATCTTGCTCGAACTCTCAAACCAAAATAAAAATCCCTTCATCACTGGAAACTGAACGAAGACGTTCACATATTGATTTCTCGGATCACTTCATACCGTCTAGATCTGTTTACATAAGTTGTATGAGTGACAGCGACAATTAGACATGTCATCGGATGGGTAAACTTCATATGCTTGAGTGCGTGATATCACCAGCTCCTTCCACAAAATCGAAGGAATTAGTCCAAGCCTTTTAGCCCTTTGATATATACTTATAATTATACACATCTTCTATTTCTAGACCTTGATCTTATTGATCCTCCATGCTTCTTGCTTCTATATCCCACCTCAGGCTTCAAAGAACCCATTCGGCAACCTCACCTTCACCCATGGACGTGACCCGAAATTCTCGGCCCGAACCCCAGCCAAAAAAAATTGCCGAAAATCAAAAATTTCCCGGAAATAAAATCTGAAAGTGTCCTTATTCCCAGTCGCCATAAATTTTGTAAAAGGGCGCTAAAATGGGAGGTTGTTGTGAAATTGAAGACAACTTTTTTCAGACGTGCAACAAAACTTTTGAACTTTTTGCTGATTGGTTGGATTCACTTGTGACCGCCTTATGAAGTTTGGATGAAATCCTTGTGAAGGTTTTGGCTTGGGTTTAACTTGTAATTGGTAAGGGGTATCGTGCATGGGGTGTTTGATGTATTGTGGGCTGAGTGGTTGGATTTGTTGGATGAGTTTGGTTGATTTATTGTGGAAGGAATTGACTTAGGTTCCGTAGGTCATCTGCGACATCACGATTGTCTGACATGCCAAAGGTTATGGACTTAGTTGTTGCTTCTCAAGCTAGGAGTTTTGATCCCATGCATACGGCACCTACTTGTTGCATGACTTTTAGGTATTCATTTATATGCGGTCAAGTTTGGTGTACAATGGTCGGATCGCAATGTCGTATGTAGTGTAGTGATAGCGGTGGTGAATTATCAGACTGTAATACTGTAATTGATGTGGGCTTTCGTTGAGAAGTTGAAGGTGGAGGAACTAATCATGAAGTTTTTTTGAGATGACTCCACATCTCAACATTTTACTTTCATCTACTTTAACTCCTTAATACCCAATTCAAGGCTCCCACCCAACCTCTCTTGACATACAGCAATGTTTAGTTGTGGACACTGATATGGTCCTGGACAAGATAGCCAACGATACATACCTCATGAAGAGATGCCACAACACAGACTCAAGACTATCAACGTGTTGATAGCAATATCCTCCAGACACTAACTCCGAACTGTTCGAACTTGGGCACGGGATTAAGACAAAACTACTGGACGATGTAAAGGACTATCTCTGTGGTTGTTTCGAGCCGTTCTTGGATGTTTACTCCTCGTAATTCCGGTGGTAAAGTTCTCGTGAGCTGACAGTGAAGAATTGTTCTGCGACGGTAGAAGCGACACAACATACCATATTTCTCAAGGATGTTATTTGTAATATCGTGCCTCATCGGCATAAGCATCACTAGAATCAACCGACCACTTTGGGTAGTACAGCAGATTCCGTAAAACTGGCAGAACCTCTAGTACCTGTATTCTTGATACCTCGCCACTATTTATATCAAGATGCAGAGTTTCAGAGCATTAGCGGAGGAGTAATGTAATTTTGACTCACTCACAGAAGTATGGCACGATCACAACTTCTGCGATTTATAATCAACTTGTGTCGATAAACCGTGTAATGATTCACCAACCACCTTTCTCGTCTTCAGGCTAAAATCTTGAACAACAATATTTACTTAGCAACCCGTCATTCAATCATCTCCAAGCATCCCCAGTCCCAGCTGCGGACAAGCATAAAGTGTTCTTCTACGACCAGGAAAGACTTGAACCATGCAACTGTGAGATCGCAAAAACGGATGCGTATGTGCAGCCAGCACCTGGGACCAAGCTTACAATCTATCGCTGTTCTTCTACCCATCCAATTTCAGACTGTACCCTTCAATACACCCCCACGATCTTGGTCTTGATGGATACCTTGATTGAATCTGAGCTAGTCGCAACCTCTCCACAGAGTCCATACAGACCCCTCAGAGTGGTCCTGGGATCTAAGTTAATAATGAGTTAATATTCAAAGGAGGGTAGCTTAAATAACAAGTAGGAGAACTCTGAAGTTGAGCTACTATCCACTTACTATGATTCAGCAGCTCGTAATGTCGAAGCCCATCTACCTAACCATGTCTCAAGCCAGTCATACCTGCCATCAAACCCCAGAATTCACCTCATCCCCTCAAACCCTCATCCAAACGTACCCCTTGCGTCTATATCTAATCCCCCACCTCTCTACTTCAAATCCGTAACTAATTCCAAGCAAGTTTTCATTGGATACCCACTAGTAGTCCTGGAATACCTTGCACAGGACAATTAAAGAGAGAGAGAGAGACGTGAATGCTCTGGATACTCAACATGTTGAGCCGGAGTCTGTTGTGTCATCCGATAGAGATATCAGCACTACTAGGCGAGAAGGAAATATGATGAAATGACATATAGTGAAAGACAGTATGAGAGGCGTTGTTGTCATGTAATTGAAGACACCTTAACAATGTTAGCTGAAAATCATAACTATGCAGTTTTGACCCTGGCAATCGACTGATTTTTGAATCAACATACATACCCCCATAAGTGAAGTTAAGGAAATTCCCCTTATCATATCGCAGAACATTAACAGCATTTAGTAATGAAGACCATAAATTTCTAAGACCATAAAAATTAATAAAAGAAGAAACAATCCAAAGGGACCTCGGATCGACTACTCCACTCGCAATGAATACCCAAGTTCTCGAAAAAAACGACCAATGTTCGAGTAGATGATAATACCTCAAAAGACCGACGCATATTCAGAGTCCCAGATCCTTGCAACTGCATCTAATATTGGATGTACAGTACTGTCAGTCTCCATACCATGTGTAACTTCAGAGAGTAGGGGATGAGTTCGAACTTTCGAGACCCTTGGGTAAGCTCATGCCGGTAGAGCTTCACTAGAAGTGATGACTAGAAGCATTCTTACAACAATAAATAATTCGCTGAACTAGAATCAGTCCGTCTGTACACCTGGACAAATGGAACGATGAAGACCTTGTTCTGCTTCGAGAGAGGTATGAGGAAGTTAGGGCAAACGGCATGTGTGCACGGACCACTTCGCTTAACCCTCTCACCTCACCACGCTCCCGGTGAGCTGTCTTCTGATTTCTATCTCGGAGATCCAACGAAATCGGAAATCGGTGTCAACTCACCAGGAGTTCACCGAATAGCAGTTCCCAGTGACCTTAAATTCAGAGAATACCAGGTGCGCAGTTCTAACAGATAGCAGTTTGAGCGCCGGATTTCTCTTCGTCATTTTGACGACGTCCTACCCTTCAAGATAAAAAGCTATCATTGCATGATGAGACGGTTCTCAATTGCTTACGAAACCCGAATAATGGCTCTTCGTACCAGACAAACATCCATTTTGTGCTGTTGACAATAAGTTTTGGAGTTATTGCCTCGAGGTTGAATCTGTTGAAGAGGTCTTCTTCTACTCGAGTAGAGATATCTCCAAAAACTGCTTGTTGGCTATTCCTACCAGCACTTTTGATTGCCAAAGTTAGCGAGAAACTGAAGCCGGATACTGCATATCGATATGTACTAGTTTACAGTGGGTAGGATACCCAGGAGGTTCAAGAATACCTTACCCTTTCCCTCCTTCTAATCCAAGCCCTCGACACAGCTGGATTCCTCGCTAGCTTAATAATGTCCGATACTGATACTCCACTCGCAGCCTTCAGCCGCGCAGAGTACTAATTTCTCGTCTTCTCCATGGTCGGAAATAGTCCTCCATGGTAGGAAATAGTCCTACCTTTGCCATTGGCCCTAAACTTTTGGACGACGAAGAGGCACCCGACAAGTCCAATGGAGACTCAAAACCAAACCGTACCCGCAATTACTCATATGGATATCTATGCAGTGAAAGCGATGGGGAGCATACAAATCCCATCAACTCAGATGGGAGAACTACAGAACTACAGAAGAGAAAGAAGGAATATCAAAATGAAACGAGCACTCTCCCACAGAGTATCGCAAGAAGCGAACACACAAGAGCAAAGAAACCAAAGAAAGGATAGAGCAAGATTTCCTCACAATCCGCAAAATCATAACCACTCTTATAGTTTCATCAATGCATCTCTCGGCAATCTCATCGATACCCTTCGAGGCCTCGTTTCCCCTTGCACCGCGCCTTCTTCAGCCCCCCCTCCCCCAATCCGGCGGGATCTTGTGGGCCTGACTCACATCCTCCTCGAAAACATTGACGTACTATTCTTTTTAAGCGCCAGACTTATACTCTTCCATCATGCGCATGAAGAGGGGCGAATCTAATGGTAAACTACCTTTATCCGACTTATTTTATGGCCTGTGATTCGCATTGGGGTAATTTATTCGATCTCAAGGGAAGCAGAATAGTTGGATGAAGATCCAATATTGTAGTTTGTGTAGTATTGATACCGTAGGATCACCAGCTACGAAACTTACGACGTTGGCGGATGTTAGTAGTGCAGACGAAGAGGAGAGGATGGCGATTGCGAAGTTTGTCACGGTGGCTTGAGCGGTTAATCTGTTTTTGTTTTTGTTTTTGCGGCAGTGAGGAGTTTGAAGGCTTGTTTGCCTGTCAAGGGATGAAGGGATGAGGATGGGAAAGTGGTTTTGTGCTGGGTTGGAGATGGGAGTCAGGTATGTGGACATTGATGAGAAAAGATTCGAGGAGATTTCGATACATATAAAATTGGTGAGACAATTGATAGTCTGTTTATACACAAATAAGGGTTCTTTACTTGCAAATAAATATTCGGAGATGATGAAAAAAAAGAAAGGGGGGTAGCTGTGATAATATATACATCCCCAAGCTCTCACAGTATCCTTCCCCTGACCCTGAAATAACGCTCTGAACCTTCATCACCTTCATGCAAACCCCAAAATCGCACTCTCACGCTTAAAAGTAAATACAAAATCAACCCTTCAATATCTCCCTCCAATTCATCCATATAACAGTGATTTTGCTTCTTTTACAATAGAATGCTTTATTTGACATCATATAGAATAGATTGAGAGAACAAGATAGGTTTGAAAGAGTTAGAGTTTTGAAAATGCGATATGCAACAAAACTTATTTTGATGAATTTATCCAAAAGTATAATCTGTATCCATTTTCCACCCGAATATGTACTTTAACAACAGAAATAGAATATAAATCATTCATCAGATTTCCTATCTATTTTATTATTGAATCATAAACCTCTGCCTATTTTCAATCCAATTCTATATTTTTGAAGGGTTAACTTCCATAATTGAGGTTACTGTAGTCTTTTCAAAAGGTGATCTTATAGAACTGCGATGTGCAACAAAACATCTATCAAAAAGTCTACTCAAGTGACCCTTCATCACCTTTCCATCTCTTTCAACAATCTCAAAATCACACTTTCGCAACAGAAATAGAATATTAAATCAACCACCAAATTTCCTATTAATTTTCGTAGTTTGTCATAAACCTCTGCTTTCTTTTTATTTAGCTTTACTGTTCTGAAAAGTTTTCTTCAATAATTGAAGTTGTTGTAGTCTTTTCAAAAGAGAGACATTTCCACCTTCAGACATGCAACAAAACTTATTTTGATGAACCTACCTCTCCATCTCCTCAAACAACCGCAAAATCACAACTTCGTACGAGAAATACAATTAAAACCCAACCACCTTATATTACTCAGTTTTTACATCATAATATGAAATATGTACTTCTTTTCTATTCAATCCCAAAATTTCAGAAAGTAATAATCATCAAATCAATTATCACAGATATTTCAAAAGAGAGACTCTCCTACACTCAGACATGCAACAAACCCAATTTCAATAAACTTTAAAATTTCAATCGCTTCATTGCTTTTCTGCCCATTTCCCAATCTCCAAAATCATATATTCAAGATTGAAAAGTAATATAAAAACAGCCACTCAATATTTCCTTCTAATTCCTTCTTTGTTCAATAGATCTACTATTTCTCTATCTAACTATTTATTTTTTAAACCATCAATACAAATCAAATCTTTACTATCCCAAAATCCCAAAGAGCCATTGCCCAACTTCAGATATGCAACAAAACCAATTCCAATGAACCTTAAAATCTCAACCACTTCATTCCTTTTCCACCCATTTTGCAAACCCCAAAAACCACACTTTCATATTCAAAATATAACACAAAATCAACACCTCAATATACCCTTCAAATTTCATTATTTTCTAATAGATCTACTATTTATCTACCTAGCTATGTATTTCCAAAATCTCTGATATAGATCTGACTATTACTATTTTCAGATCCAAAATAGTGACTTTTCAACTTTAGATATACAACAAAACTTATTTTGATGAACCTTGATTGAACCTTGATTGAACCTTAAATATTCAACACACACAACACAACATATCCAAATCCCAATTTTGGCAGATCAAAATAAACCCTTTAGCAAGGGCATTGCATTACATTACATTACATTACTGGAGTTAGTTATAATCATCTCTATGATAAGTCATTATGTCATGCCATGTCATGCCATGTCATGTCTTTTACATTTACATCAACATCGATCAAGGACAACCAGCAGCAAGCAAGATCTTTTGTTTTCTTTTGTTTTGTTATGCAACATTATATTGAGATTTGAGTACATTGTATACTAAGATAATGCATCCAGGTATCTATTGGATCACTTTTTTGACACAACGCCGAGACTCCTACAATGCACACTATACACTCCTCATTCTACCATCCTCTCTTTACTCCCACACCCACTCCTACATCCTCAAATATCTTTCTCATCTTAACCCCCATCAAATCATAGCCAAAATCATGCTCGATCCCTTATTACCCACCTCCTTCTCCTTTGCCCCCTTTCCTTTCTTTGCAGCACCCTTTCCACTCGCCTTCTTATCTTTCTCCTTTGCCTCAAACTCCTCCCTCTTGGCCTTCTGTTCCACGGTCTCCTCCTTTGCCGCCTTCTCCAACTTCTTCTTATCCTCTGTCAAAATGTCCTTGACCTCATCTTTGTTTCCGAAAGATTCCGATTCCAACAATGCAAGAACCACGAAAGAACTTGAGCCGGTTGCCCATTCAGTGATATACTCCTTGATATGCGGGTATAAAATATCCCCAAAATTTAAGGCTGGTACAACTGATACGATGGATTTAGTGGCTGCGTCAAAACGTCCACCTGCAATGAGAGTTTTGATCATTTTTCCACCGAAAGGTGCGCTTGCGATATGGGAAGGTGGTTGTTCGCTAACTGCGCCTTCTTCGACAGGAGGTTGAATGTAAGTTGGGTCTCCCGAAACCGCTTCGGCGAGTGATTCGAGAGCTGCTGTTTTGTCTCCTTCAGCGCCGAAGAGAACTTCAGTTATGAATTGACAACCGAAAGATGTGGCGATGAGTTCTCTAGATGCGGAGGCGATAGCCTTTAGAAGATATGGAGAGAGAGCCTTGATTAATTCTTGACGACGTATTTCAGGATCCTTTTTAGACGTGGTGGTTCGGATTGTGTCGATTTCGGACAGAAGTTCGAGATCTGAGTTATGGCTTGATGGGAATAAGGATTTTGAGCGACCTTGGAAAAGGTAGAGAAGAGTAGTGCGTGCGTTGAGGTCGTTGGCGGAAAACATAATATTCTCGACTTGCTTCTCTTCATCTTTGCTGAGCAATTCTGGGAAAATAGACTTCGCAGTCAAGACTGTATCGTCAATGACTTCGTATGCGGTGAGGATGACAATGTGTCCGTTTGGATCTCCTGCCATCAATTGTAACGTATCTTTGTACATCTTCAGGATATGTTTTCGGTCCTTGGCACCTCCGTATACCAGAGCAAGGCAAACAACTCTGGCTCCAGACTTAGTGAATGCCAGATTCTTCATCAAATCAGCTTCCTCATCGCCCTTCAATAACTCGATAAAGTCAGTGATCTCCTCCGTACCTTGTTTGGCATTGAGGAAATATTGCAACATAGCATCGTGAAGGAGAGTGAAACCGTTCGTCTTCTTCTGCAGGAGATGATTGATCATTTCTTGTAGGTATCGCATGATCGATGCTCGTTTTCCAGGTTCGGCAGCCAAAATTTCCGAGAGTTCGCCGGTTAAGAACGTGGAAGTGTCTCTCTCCATGACGGCGAATTCGGCACCATACCATTCTCGGAGGATGATGGCCTTCTGTTGCTTGGTAGCTACTCCACGGTAGATATCATCGAGAATCCATCCAGCTTCGGGGTGCTTAATCAATCGACGAACGTGACCATAGAACTCCGGAACAATGAGATCTCTAATTTCATCATCTCCCTGTATCAACAACTTTCCGATCAAGAACTTGGCATATCTGCTCTCGGCCAATTGACGGTATGTTCCTGCAAGCTCCTTTGCGATCAATCGTTTCTGCTCTGGATTCGAATATTTGACAGCTGTCTGGACGACTCTTACACTGTCGTGTTTGAGGACAAAGTCCTTGATATTGCCAGTGATGAGTTCGAAAAGTTCCTCGACCAATTGCTTTCTCTCTTCCTTTGGAACATGCGACTTTCGGCGTAAACGTTCCCAAATTTTCTTCGTACGTGCCAATTGATCTGCTAAAGGTTTTGCGGCCTTTCTGTCATTCGCCAATTGCTTTTGTTTCGCATGTGCCTCTCTCGCTGATTGATCTGCAATGTGTAAGTACGAAGGTATAAGGAATGCTTAAAAAGGAGCTTACTGTTCGCGGCAACGGCCTTAACTCTGTCTGGATGTAGGCCCTCAATTTCCTTCATGTCCGTATCATTATCCGAACCATCTGCAGATGCAGATTCCAAATCTGCGCCTCCATCTTCGGAATCAAAATCTTCTTCATTCTCACTCTCAGATTCGACCTTCTTCACAGGCTTAGCCTTAGTTTTCGATTCCTTTCCCATCTTCCCCGAATCGATTTTCGCTTTTTTGTTTTCCTTCACATGAACTTCTTTCGCAGGTGCCGACTTTCTCTTCATACCCGTCACCATAGTCTTCGTAGTTGTTACTGGAGCCATTTTGGTACAATTGATGAATTTATTTGTACGGATGGGGTGGCTTGTGGTTTCCTTGGGAACTTTTTTTTCTGCCTTTGACAGATAAAAGATAAACTTTTCCGATCGGCGCTAGGCCAATCTTGGGTAGCATACAATCAACCCACCACCCCACGAAAGGCTTTTGTTTAGAGGGAAACAATTGAAGCAAGTTTACAATATGGGAAGAGAAGACCAAGTTGAGGAGAGGGAGGTCCTCGATAGTATTTTCCCCGAGGAAATTTATGGTATGTTTGCTAGAGTTCCCAATATTTTGTATTCCCCGCAGCAAGCTCCCCTAACACTTTTCACAGATATATCCGAGACCGAATATCGAGTTTCCGTTCTACTCGATGTTATAAACGCAGATGGCGATGAATCGGAGCCTCCTACTATGCTTCTTCAAGTCAAATACCCAGAAGAATACCCTGAAGTGCCACCCATTCTAGATATACTTCCAACACCGAATGCGCCCAATCATCCATATTTCAGTGTCGCAACTGATAAAGAAGTGCTTCTTGATGGATTAACCGAGACAATCGAGGAGAATATGGGGATGGCCATGGTGTTTACATTGATATCTACTTTAAAAGAAAATGCGGAACAACTTATTGTGCAAAGACAAGAAGCGAAGGAAAAGGAACAAGAGCAGAAGATGTTAGCAGTAGAGGCCGAGGAAAATAAAAAGTTCCATGGAGAGCCGGTTACTAGAGAGTCTTTTATGAAGTGGAGGGAGGGTTTCCAGCAGGAGATGGAGGAGATCAAGGTGAAAGAGGAAGCGGATGAAGAAGCGGCGGAGAAAAAGAAGAATAGAGGAAAGGAAACTATTGTTGCGATTACTGGTAGACAACTTTGGGAGAGAGGTATGGTTGGGAAGGTTGAGGAGGACGAGGACTATGATGATGTGCCTGTTGAGGGTGTGGATAAGCTCAAGGTTGAGGCATGATTGATTACATGGATAAATGTTATTTTTGGTATGGAGTTGCATTGCTGGCGTTGGTTTGGGAAAATTGACAGCGAGATTTCGACCAAAAATACACATGAGACGAAGTGAAGCGAGAAAAGGGGTGGATGTCCCAAGTTTGCTGTTCATACAAATATGTCATTAATCATAGTCATGAATCTTTTTATTATCTATCGTCGAAGCAACTGTTTATGCGTTGCGCGATCCTACACAAACGCCGTGATATACTTCCATTAACCCCTTAGAACAAAAGCTTTTCGATCCTCGTACCCAGAAACTCTATTTTCACGATTAGGCCATTTCTTCGTCTTCATCACTGTCCTCCTCCCAGCCTACTCCATCCTCTTCAACTTCAGCGTTTGCGGCCTCCTCTCCTAACTCAGTATTCAAAATCGAAATAAGCTCTTGAGCGTGAGCACCAAGGCGTTCATCTTCATAATCTTGTTGCTCGAAGAGTCGAAGACAATGGTTCAGCCACTGTTGACTTGAAATCCACGAAACTTTCCAGTTTTCCCCATCGCCCTCGCCTTCGCCATTGATTTCTTGTTGTGCGTTCTCTCCATTCTTTTGTTTCTCTCCCATAATGTATAATCCCCAACCGCCCAAGTACCAGACCTCAACACTGGTATCATCCTCACCCACTAAACGTTCCAGTACTTCGATAGCCTCAGTGTCCATATCCGCCTCCATCAATAATCTCGCCAGACTAACTTTCGTAGGGAAATCCGGGACGGCGTCATTCTCAGGAGGTAAATCTTTCCAAATGTCTAAACTCCTCTTCAATGCTGCTTGCGCATCTTCCATCCTCAATTGTGATATCCTGACATTTGCCAATGTCTGCCATGGCTCAGAATAGTTTGGTGCGACCATAGTAGCCTCTGTGACTAATGCCTCGCACTTCTGTTCCGCATCCTCTTCCCATGATAGATCCGTCATATAAACCTCGATAACTCCACAAAGTGCCACTGCCAATTTCCTCCTCTTCTCCTCTAGAGTAGCAAGTCCTGCTTCATCCAACTTGTTTTTTTCCATCTTCTCTAACAAAGCCCCAATTTGTACCTTCAAACTAACAGCTCCCTTCTCATACCATCCAACACTATCCTCCCCACCCTCCTCACTCAGCTGTGCCAACCACAAGAATTTCTCCGCTCCACCTCCAACATCCTCGCTCAATTCCCCATCCTCATCTATTCCAGCTGCTTGCATAAAAAACTGTCTCGCCGAATCGATATCTCCCAATTCCACATGAACTTCTCCCAATAAATTTAAGACTGGGAGAGCTTCAACCGCCTGTACATCGACCAAGCTCAATGCTTTCTTGGCAAATGGCACGGCGCCTTCAATGTCGCCTTCCTGCAGACATTTTGTTGCTTTTAGTAGTAAATCCATTGAACTTGCGGGCGGTGAAGAGGCTTTTGTAGATTTTGCGGAGGTATGATTGAGGGCAGATTTGTCGCGTTTATTGTCCTTTTTATTTGCTGGCTTAGTCTTCGCCATCTTGAGTTTTTGTAAAGTGTAGAAAGGTAGTTGTAAGGTTGGAGGGGTTGTAAATTGATGCAGGAAAAAAGGTCTGGAGATGGCAGATGGCAGAATAACTTTTTTTTTTGGCGATAGCCGATAACGCTAATCCTCGAGCTTGGCCGCCCCGCCAAATTCCATCATTGGCATTTTGGCCAACTTTAAAAACTACAAGTTGTAAGCATTTGAACTTCATTCAAATTCTTGGTATCAAGATCGTACTCAAGTCATCGCTCTATTCCCATGTGAAGATATGAAACATCGATTATCTCATTAATTATCCAATATGGCGGTACCCGGTACTCTACTAGGTAGCCGTGAATCCTTTCATCCCGAAACTGTGCACTCACCAAACATCACAGAATGGACCCTTGGCGTTATTAAAAAGTTTACATTATTATTATTGTAGCAGCAGCTTTGCTGCATCTGGGATTCGTGTACGACCCCAGGCATAATATATCTATGACCAATTCCCAAACGATTGTAGGTGCCGGTACAAGATAGTACAAAGATTCGACCGAACGCCCATACATTTCACATCTCCTGAAAGTTCATAAACATCATAATGCGTCTTAGCGAACCTCATCCACGTCGACCTTGGGAGTGGCAATGCCGGATTTTGGGATATTCCCAAGCTCTTCTCCTGTGCCACTTTGACCACGTTTCCTTCCTGGCAAGTGGAATGATGGGAGTGCCTCGTCGCCGAATTTCGAGAAGAAGCCCTTCTTCTTGACATGTTTTGTGGAGTCATTGGCGACATCATTTAACCCTACATCTTCAAATCTTTCCTCGGCCATGGCTGGCTGTCTATCGAATCGTCTATCACCAATGGCAGATCGTTGCATCCGAGGTAACCTTGCGGAATCAAGACTTTGTCGTCCGCCCTGTCCATCAATGGGACTTATAGGTGATCTAGCTGAGATATCCTTTCCAAAAGTCAGAGGACATGCTTGAATGGGGATTATGCGAGGTATAAACTTACAAACGATCTTCTATATGAATCAAACGATTCTCTTGAGATTGGAAAAGGATCAATCTCATCAGTTGATGTCGTTCGGGTATTGATTGAGGTTGCAGAAAGATTGCTTTTGCTGCGAGGCCAGAAGCTTTTCTTTTCGGGTGGAGAAGGCTTGGGAACTGGTCAGTTGTATTGGCACATTGTGAGTTTTCCTATACTTACAGGTAGATACACGCCACTATCGTTCACAACTATCAAATCAACCCGTTAGCCAAATTGTCTCATCGATTCCGATAGCTCCGATTCAAACCAAACAAAGACCTCATACCACTCATTTTATATTCCGGGGGTTCTTCACTCCTTGCCGTCTTGATACTCAGCGAAGATGCTCGAGATGCTACTGTAGAAACTCGTTCGAAAGAAGCGCGAGGAGAGCCATTCTGATCGCCTTGAGATGGCTGTAAACCAGTCTGAACGTCCTGTCTCCTTGCAAATGGATTTCGAAGAATAGGCATATTGGATATAAGTCAAGCAATTACGAGATATAAATCAATTGTCTTTCGAACTTCTAAAAACTGGAAACAAAGTGCACTGAGGATATTCGCACTATTCGAGTATTCGAGGACCGTACTTCTTTAAGACTTAAGACTTTAATGTTGTCGTCTTCGTTTTCAAGAATTGGATGATTGGCGATTATTTGGAACGGTTTTTCCTAAGCCACTCGGATGCTCCATTCCCCGTTTTCTGGGCTGATCACGGGAGAGGGTCATTGTATTGATTTCTCGTTGGCCGAACCGAGGTAGATCATTAGGCTTTATCAACAGCGTAGAACGATAGTGAATATGAGTCCTATTGTAGATAGATTATAGACTGTTGGATTTATTTTGGATTTTGTCACAACACCGACGATGACAATCAGATAATGGCATTGAGTGTAAGTCATATACTTACTCGGGGGCTAGCACTCAACTAATCCTTTGGGATAAGAACTAAAATTGTATGACGTATCCCGAACTTTCATAGACGAGCATTCCGAAGGATTCTTGAGACAATACGAGTAGATATCGTACGTATACTGACCAGCTGAAACAAATATATGAATTTCCACCTTGCTTCCCGCGCTGATCCGTGCAGTCGAAATGTCTTCAGTAATAGAGCAGTGAGTAACAGCTAAAGACCCCTCGAGTGATTTTGATTAAGTTGTGTAACCAGTACATCTGAAGAGGCTGGAGGAAATCCAATTCTTGTCGCACAGGAAGTATTATGGCTGTTTTTGACTTCTTCCAGTGATTGTAGGCTTTGATCTGATATTCCAAGGTTGTCTGTCTGTTCAAGGTTTGAGACTTCGAACCCCATATTTTCGAATATTTCCCGAGCGCCCACCAAACCAAATCGAAGAATTTATCCTTCCGGTTCCTTCTTTTTCACCTCTTGTCAAGAATATCTTATCGTTTCCCGCTTTTCGACGTGGCATAAATTCCCTCCTCTAGGTTAATATATCTTGATCTCTGATGCATGCTTGGCAAGTGGTTTGAGGCTTTCTAAACCGTCAGCCCGCTTGAATCGAAAACAAAGAAAAGGGGGGAGGGAAGATGGGACGTACCTAGTAGACAATTACGATCCAAATGAAGGGAAGACCTTGCACTTTAAGCTTATCTCCTCCAACTTCTCTCTATGTTGCGCCGGTGGTATGATGATCAACAACATGTAAGTATAGTATTCTCGTTATTCAGCAGTTTGAGATGGAAACCCTTTGTGGGGAAATGTTCCTTGTGTCACTTGACTGTAGAAGCAAGTTGGCCGAAAGTATGTGCTAAGGGGCGAAATATTCCCAACGACGACTTCTGATTGATGAACCTCCCGTACAACTCCATGGCGGCATGCATCTGGTACAAAGAAGCAAACGGATATCTCAGCCAACCCGATGCCATGCACACTTCCAATATGCGTGGCGTTATTCAACTATAAATAAAATTTCTTTTTTGTTGGAGAGCTCCAGAACCAAAAACCTGCAGGCACCTACAAGGTTCTGGGATACTCAATATGATGGTATTTCATGCATCGGATCCATTGAGCTTCGTATATGTATATCAGGTTATATCTCCCGTTGTTTAGATACTCATCTTTCCAATTGTTAGAAAAAGTCTTCTGATCCACGCTCCGAGAAACAAGGGATTCTCTATTCTCATTCGTTTATAAAAATTACCTGGATTGTATCTCTGGTATCTGGAGTTGTACTGCGTTTCGAGGGGTCCTTTTCGGAATAATCTCTACCATTCAGAAGGTGTACGGCACGGTACGTATGCATGATTGTATAGTACATAGCACACAAATCTCCGGATACCTAGGTATTTATATTGAGAAACCACGTTCATTCGAAGTCCAAAAGGGTGTGACAATCTGCAGGTTTCCGAAGAGCCAACACACAAGAACTCATACGTCGGAAGCTTTTTAAAGAGAACATTCATTTTCTCAACTGGTCTTCCTCAGACGAACATCTTGGTTTCAGGTTGTATCAACCACATGCAAATTATCTATTCATTTTTGGTCAATATTTGATTCGCACCTGACACTTTGAATATATTCACTTCTTTTCACCAAATATCTTCAATAGTGTCAACCATACCACGTTCGTTTTCTGTTTGATAGCGAACAATCATACTCTCCATATTGAAGTCAAAATCATCAACTTTTAAGAGAACGTACCTCGTACCTTCAGATAGAGATTTGATAGCACTTCTCCTTTGGAATGCAGATTACACTTTCCTAAACAAATAATACCTTGTGGGATAGCGACTTCCAATTTTGGCGACAGGAGAGTCACGGAAATACAATTTCTTTTTCTCCGTCGCCTCTCATCAATTTCTTCATCAAATACCACTGTCTCTTCCTTCTACTTTTACACAGGCTTTTCAGAGTCTGTAAAAGCTACCTACTTGTAGGGGGCATTTGCTTTGCATCAACATCGACAGGAGGATCTCCAAGCACGATTTACGATTATTCTACCGGAGTGTGATACACTTAAGAATCGATTTTCAACATGGCGATATCATTCTTCGACTCCTGGCAGTTGTGGGAAAAGATGACATTTGTAAGTTTAATCCACATACACCTGCAAGCAGTCAACTCATCTATATCAGGTTTTGGGATGCGCTATCGTAGCTGTTTTTTGCGCGGGATATATCAAATTATTATGGACAAATAGGATGGTTGCGAAACAAGAGATCATAGATGAAGAAAAGCGCGTCAGGATCCAAGAACTACGACAAAGTGGTCAGTTTGTTGAAACAAGTAAAGGTGTTGAAATACCTTTTGGAGTTCGGGCCATTCAAAGTGGTATTCAAGTCGACGGAATCTGGATATCTGGAACTAATACTCCTGTCCCGAGCATCAAACTCCAACGCCATTCATCATATGAACTTTCCTCTCCAGATTCGACCTCCAACGCACATATATCTCCCGATGGATACAATCATCCAGCCCCACCCAAAAATGGTCCACCAAACTTCCGATATAGCGAGTCTGCGGTACTTTCAAGCCATAGAAGTATTAGTGACGATGAAACTATTGTCTCGGATCCTCGTAGCTCATCCCGCCAACGAGCAACCTACAAGCCAACCAGATCATCGCAACTACGTTTTGGAACAGTTGGGGAACATCAATATGACGAAGAGACACTTGGCCATCTCGAAGGCAGTGCACCAACTGATAGAGTTTATACTCACAGGCCCCGTGGAGGTCGTAATGAGTCGAATTCGTCAATTTCCGATGCCGCTGCCGCTGCCGATAACGAACGCTCATCTGGAACTTCTGACGACTCTGACGAGACATTTTCTCGTGTTAAACATCCGCAACCTAATCGTCCCTTCAATTATCCTACTCGAACTCCTTCTCCTGAAGTCTTGACGCCCGCATTCCCTTCATTCTCCCACCAGCCAACAACCAAGGGTAAGGGCCAATATTCATCAATTCCTTTATTCCTTGATGAAGAAGAAATGAATCCATTTGCGTCGCCTCATCTAAGTCTCACAGACAGAACATTCGGCTCCAATCTCCAAACCGTCGAAGATCAACGATACACAGACAACACTGTCGAGTCCCGGGCACCTCTTTTGAAGACTCGCTCTCCATCTTCGCAATTCGTACCCGGAGAACTTCATGAGAACAAGTCGATTAGGAAGGTCAATTCTGGCTTCGAGATTCTGCCAGCAGGTACATTTGGCACTCAACCACCTGTAAATATCAAGGGAAAAGGTGTCAGCCGTCATGAAAGTTGGGGCCTCAACAATTCGGAGCAAATTCCACCACAATCAAAAAAGTTACACAAAAAGACCAGATTTTCCATGGGCCCGAATGACGAATAGAAGTACGATGGAGGAGTTGGTAGTCTACGATTCTTGAACGAGTGATACATTTTGGTATGGAGTAATGGGTTGGCAGAGCAATTGAGGCAGTTTTGGCGTTACATATTACGAAGATGACTGTTCGGTATTAAAACCATTTTCAATATCTCATAGCTAGGGGGATTCGGTGTCTAGGAGGGGGGGGAGGGGGGGGAGCATAGATTTGCTTTGCGGGAGAATTTGGAAAGAAAAAGAAATCATATTGCCTAGGTAGTCTAGCGTAACGAGCAACCGAAGAGATGTACAATGATACATGATAATTACATAACGAGCATACCTACATATTGATAGAATGATTTGACCCCTATTGCTTGTCTATTCGCCTTAGCGTAGCCTAGCTCAATACACCACGCCGAGGTGGAGTTCGATGCCTAGATCTGATTATTGCTAACCGATTGTAAGGAAATCAATCAGGTGATCTGGCGATTGCTAATCATCGGCGACACGTCAACAACGCGTCCTTTCCTTCGGGGAATTTTAATCTTCACATTTCAACAACACAGGAACGTACTCGATATTTGATCCCAATCCTCACCTTTGACGATTCACCAAACCATCTTCATTACGACATAAATTTCTTGCTCATAAAATATGGCTTCAGAAGAAGTTGAACCTTCTCAGTCTGGGGAAGAATCAGGAATGGGAGGTCCTGGTGCCCCAACGCCACTCTCTGCATTAGAGGTGCGACATTTTTCCTCCTATCATTATCTCGTACATATCCTAATCATCGATTTAGGGAGTTGCAGGTCTTACTAAGAGAGATATTCAAATGGTTGTGGATGGTGGATACAATACTGTAGAGTCTGTCGCATACACACCGCGGCGAATTTTGGAGCAAATCAAGGGTATCTCCGAGCAGAAGGCTACTAAGATCCTGACGGAAGGTCAGTAAACATAACTAATGCAGTGTCGAGGTCTTGCTGACATTTGGTAGCGTCAAAATTGGTTCCCATGGGCTTCACAACCGCCACCGAGATGCATCAACGAAGAAGCGAACTGATATCGATCACGACCGGTTCCAAGCAACTAGATACACTTCTAGCGGGAGGAGTCGAGACCGGATCTGTCACTGAAATATTTGGAGAGTTTCGTACTGGAAAGAGTCAAATTTGCCATACTCTAGCAGTCACTTGTCAATTGCCTTTTGATATGGGTGGTGGAGAAGGCAAATGTCTGTATATCGATACAGAAGGCACGTTCCGTCCTGTGCGTTTACTTGCCGTGGCCAATCGATACGGTTTATCTGGAGAGGAAGTTCTAGATAATGTTGCATATGCAAGAGCCTACAACTCCGACCATCAGCTGCAACTTCTCAATCAAGCGGCCCAAATGATGTGCGAGACCCGATTCTCACTTCTCATTGTCGACAGTGCTACTGCACTCTATCGTACAGATTTCACAGGACGAGGTGAATTGTCTTCTAGACAAATGCATCTAGCAAAGTTCATGCGCATGCTTCAACGGTTAGCCGATGAGTTTGGCATTGCTGTGGTAATCACAAATCAAGTTGTTGCGCAAGTTGACGGAGGACCAAGTGCTATGTTCAATCCGGATCCTAAGAAACCTATCGGTGGTAACATCATTGCACATGCAAGCACGACCAGATTGAGTCTCAAGAAGGGTCGTGGAGAGACCAGAATCTGCAAAATCTACGACAGCCCATGTTTACCAGAAAGTGATTGTCTGTTCGCTATCAATGAAGATGGTATCGGCGACCCAAGTCCAAAGGATCTCGAGAAGGATTAGATGTAAATTCTTGCGGGACATATCTATATGTGATGATTTTACGGTTCTAATGGTTATGTGTTATTCTTTGCTTTCTAGCTGGCACGGTAGTGGTCATGGGTGGCATATGGAGCTTTTTGGAATCAATTTTATTATTTTCGGCATAGCGGAACCTCTGTATTTAGTACACTAGCAGCACATATTAATTCTTGCCGCCTACTGATAATGTATAGATCCGAAACATGCATTAAGTGATGGCTGGTTTGTGAACGTTGTTAGAATTCAATCAATAAATTGCACAAACCCACTAGCGGCCGCCTAAAAAGTGAAGCTCGCGATTCCCCCAGAATCAAAACAAACCAAAAATGCGACAACCTCTGAACACTCACCAAAACTCTCCATGAGACCAGCGATTGATGGAGATAAAATGGCGGATACAGGAAATATTTACTCCTACAAGGAGATCCGACTAAACCTCGATTCATCCATTCAAAATTCTACCATTGCGATTCGTTTACCTGCACATGGCACTCCAGCTACAAGAACAGTACAAAAGCGACCTCATGTTACGGAAATATCCATCGCGGGGGACGAACGAGTTTTCAAGCAAAAGTATATAGCAACTGCTGGCTCTATCTATCATCGCACACAAGACGTATTCCCCCGAAGTTATTTATGGAGGGTTTTGGAGGATGGAAAGGTACTCTCAGTACAGGTGGTGGATGTATCGAAACTGCAGAACACCACAGACGCACATCTTACTTTGAGACTGCAATTACCAAGTGCCATAAAGCCGGGATGCGTTGCTTTCGCGGATTGCAAGGAGCATGACTATGTCAGCGCATTTGTGTTGACGGAAACACACCACCTTTACACTCTAAGACTTTGGCCGGACTTCTTTCGCAACCCTTCGAGCACGGAAAATAATGTTGGAAACTGGTGCAAGTCATATATATCTTCGGCATTTAGCTTCAAAAAGCCGCATAGGATGGTTGCGCTTAGTGCCAATGAATTGCTGATATCCAATTTTGATGGAGGGCTCCTGAAGTTAAACAGAAAGTCGGGTGGAGATGGTATGTCGAAGCTACACTCTGGAAATTGTGTGGTTAACTGACAGGCGAAATAGGCTCCGAGTGGAAAGAGACACATTACAATCCAGGAGGATGGAGAGATGGACTAAAGAGTTTAATACCTTTCCAAGGAAGCAATACTGTTCGATATGGAAACGTCAACATCGAATTATCAACAGTCACTTCTATATCTTCACCATCAACGAGCATCGATGGGCAATCATATGCGTTTACTGTGTCTTTAGATCACAATCTTCGAATTTGGAACTTGTCTAATGGACGAATCGCCTACATTGGTGATATTCTTGGCCAGGAGATAGACCCGAAGAACCCCAGAAAGCCAGTGCTCGACCCTTCATATTCACAATTAGTCAAAGTATATGATCACAATAACGAAAGTGCTCTCTGTGTCACATACTCCCCACTTGGTGAAGGGCAATTTAAGTTCTGGAATGTTACTCCGGCCGCTGAGGTTGGAGGCTTGGTCGTATCAGATTCTTTTCCGAATAATACTTTGGTTCCTCGCGCGCCTACATCAGACCTTTGGACCTTGGCAGATTTCTCGGTCATTCCGGATAGAACGAGAAGTGCGTTAAGTCTGTGGACCTTGTGGAAAAACAATACAACATATCGAGTACAAAAACTTTACTTTGAGAATGGTTCTGAGCAGATGGTTGAGCAGTTATGGGAAGAGGGCTGGGGAGCTATGGTGAGCGAAAGTTTGGCTCAGAAACCTCTACCCACCATCTATTCTGGCGATGCCTCAGACTCCACAGACAAGTGGTTAGCATACATATTATATCCAGGCAAATTCACCCATGCAACCATCGAGACCGGATTGGCCATTTACGAAAGAGGGTTAGGAACATCCAGGGATATGACACGTAGATCCGCACCGTTACCCGAAAGGTTATGTTCAAGTATTGCAACTACCGCCACATTGAGTCGAGCATCTGACGGAGGGGCAGACTTTGAACAATTTCGCCTTGCCACTGATGCACAATGGAGACGTTTCTATCGACTTCTTTTTGAACTGGATAAGCAAAGAGGTGAAGCCCTGGCTTTGGCCATTGACCCAATGGGAGAGATGCCTTGGGTCGTTTCGGCAGATGGATTATCAGCAGTCCGAGATTGTAGTGGTTTAGAGCAGATATGGCACAACCCTGAGCAAACTACTGCAGGTACGGAATATGTATCTACTCTTCTCACCGCTGGATCTTTGTTCGGCGAGGCAGTTCCAGATATCCTGTTCCACGGCTTCCGCTCTGCCCTATTGAGTCAACTTTACGAAGAGCCGACATTGCTTCCAGCAGCAAGGATGAAGATGCTATACGACAGTTGTGATTACTCGAATCAGATTGGTGATGAAGAGTATCATCAACTAGTGACAAATTTGGGAGGTACATTTAGTGATGTCACTTCTCATGTATATGAAGCTCTCCTTGAGTCCATGATAACATCAATTGGAAGTGATTCGAGACATCCATTACCTCTGGCCAACACTGGCAATAGGCTGATTGTCAAGGGCGTCCAAGAGACTATTGAGCTACATAAAAGTATTTGTCTTGACCAGCTTCTTTTACTGATTCTTATCGAGGTCGAAATCAACCATGGGGAGGAGGGAATTCAATTTGAGACTAGTGCAGTATTCAATCAGCTCCTGATTATGCTTAAGAGACTCGAACTTGTTTCTTGGTTGGCCAAAACTGAAATTGACTTACCTCTTCCGAATCGGGAACGCTCAAATTCTCTAGATGATTCGACGTCCAGTTTGCCTAAGAAGCCAATATCTTATGAGACTGTCACTGTCTTAGAAGGTGTTCATAGACATCTATTCGGACTCGAAAAAGGAGTATCGATGTCTACAGTCTTGACGGACTTCATCACAGAAATATGCAGACCTGATAGCAGATATGAATCTCCACCTGCCATCATCCAATGCTTCTTGTTGAAGCATAGCCAGTCTGATTTGGCAATGGAATTTTCACGTTTCACTGAACATGATTCATTTTCCACGTATATTCAAGGAAGGGCGTGCCTAGCTGCTAATGATCCTCGTACAGCAGCATTGCACTTCAAAAAGGCTGCTTTTGGAATGGGTAAGCTATTCAGGCCGTTGAATTTTGGGCGTCTTTTAACTGACACATGACTCTTTTAGCATATCCAGATCACAATAAACACGCAAACCCACACAGTGCAGGCCTCCTAGACGAAACAGAAAAGAATCTTCTGAACGCGGGTCTTCCAGAATATCATTCACATATCGTTTCTCTGTACGACAATGAAAAAATGCACTCCTTCGTCATCGATTTCTCTCGCCTAGCCCTCCAATTCATCAAGCCCAACCAACATGATCTTAGCACCGAAATGCACAGTCGTCTCTTCCACGCCGCTCTTCAAACCTCCCGTTACGAACTCGCTTACTCGGCCCTCTCCCTCTTTACAAATACCGCCCTACAAACCTCCTCGCTCCGATTACTCATCACCAGGATGTGCGAATCGTCCCACGCTACCCAACTTATTTCTTTCCCTTTCCTCGGTCTACAAGATCTTGTCGATGAGATACTTTCGCAGAAATGCGTCAATATCGTTGAAGTCACAAATGGTGTCCCATATCATAAAATCTTATACTCGTGGCGAATTCAGCATTCTGATTTCCGCGGTGCGGCAGCTATTTCTTTAGAAAGATTGTATCGTCTTCAAGCTTCCTCGGAAAGCGATAATAAGATAGGAAGTGGGGAATTAGGGGAAGAAGGAGAAACGTTGGTCACGAAACAATATGTGGCGGTTATTAATGCATTGAGTTGTGTGGATCCAAAACATGCGTGGATTTTATGCGAGGGAGCTAAGGGGAAAGATGCGGGGAATGTAGGGAGAGGGACGGGGAGGGCAATTTCAAAAGGGGTGAAAGAGGATGGAGGGGTTAAGAGAAGAGTAGTTACATTGGCGGATATTAGGAGGGGGTATCAGGAGGAATTGGATCGCGTGGCCGCCATTGAGAATGGCAGGTTTAGTTTGGGTGGGGCTGGGGATGGAGATATGATGGAGATGTGAGGTAAGTATGTGAAGGACAGATTTACCCAGTGATATGAATGCGATGCGATGAGAAGCGCTGAAAAGAAACTAAGAAAGAGAACTTGGCGTCATGAATTGATTTGGATGGGCAGGTTTCCGGTCAGGTAATGCGGAAAGATAGGAACCGCGATTGATCAAGTGTAAGTGTAAGCGTAGAATAAATAGTATGTCGAATGATGGATGTCAAAATACAAAAAGTAATGCAATCAATCTTCCTATCTTCTTGCCTTTACTTCCTCTTTTCTCTTTTTACTCTTTACTAGCTATACGGTATGATGATGATGAACTTTGGGGATTGTAAGATCTTACCTGTACAATGAAGGTAACACGTAATACGTAACACAAGAACCAAAGCCAAAACCATGAATAACGAGAGACAAATCTCAACAGTGACACATGTCAAATAAAGCAAAAGCGAGCGTGAGATTCTCAGTTTTTATATTCTTATTCATAATATAATATGCATGAGCGATATTCTTCATTCTGCCAGAATATTCGTCTTACTGACTCCTCCTGAGAGCAGAAGCCAACGATTGCAAGTAGAGTAGAACAAACCCAAGTTTGTCAATTATCTATCTCAAAGTCTGTCTCAGACTTGGTATTGTACATTTTTGAAAAGGTGTTTCTGGTTTTATACCGGAATCTGAAACCTTGATTCCCTTCAAGTGAGGTTCTCCTCATATCTTAGTATCTTTGACTGGGTTGGTTCTTTTCCCCTATGAAATGGTCAATTGATCCATGTATCTTTCCCCAATATGTAAACCCTATAAACACGCACGCAAAAAAGGAAACAAAAAGGAAATACCAAAAGAAAACGAGCTATTGGTATCAACATAGTAGAAACAAAGCGGATTAGATAAAAGTAAGGGAGGCGAGACGCTTTATTGGGCGGAGATGCGTTTCTGGGCCGCAGGACTAGGAGCAGAGTGTGCACCAGCGATTTTGGTCTGTTGGCCGAGGGCTAACGCATCTTCTGGCTGTTGACGGTAGAGAACTATTTCAGATTGTTTGAAGTAACGTCGGGCATCTTTAGAATTGTTAGCTGAATGATAACAAAAACTGGAGAGGGAGAACTCACCCTCGTCAATGAGGACTAAACTCAAATAGTAACGAGTGGAGTATTTCTTGTTGACTTCACGGAAAGTAGGAGTCAAATCAAAGCCGCCAAGGAAAAGTCTTATGGGAATAGTTTCTCCTCTTGATGGTGAACCATCCATAATCTCAAATCGCACCAAGGTTTCGCTCTCATTGTACTGGTTGGGGGGTGTCCCAGTAGTCTCGCGTCGAATAATAGACAATTCCATATGTTTAATCTTGAGACGAACCAACAAGAAATAGATACGGCCAACGATAACATCTTTGAGGTGGTATTTCGATTTTGAGTACTCAAATTCGATATGCAAGCAATCCTCAATACCGACGTCCATTTTGATAGAACTATTCATCTCCGGGGGAATTCTGTAAGAGAAGACCCAAAGGTCCTTTTCGCGGATAACGTCGGCCATTCGTCTAGAGACTGTGACCTTGATAAAATATCGCAACTTGACGTTAATGCCATTGTACGATTCGTATTGCTTTTCGACATTTTTGAAGTTGAAATCATAAGCTTGTGGGTGTTGTAAGTCGCCTGGAGCAGCAAGCTCTTGTCCTAATGACAAGAACTCATAGTGGTTGCCTCGATCATAAAACATCTCTGCGAGTTCTTAAGTTAGCAAATCGAAGCTGAGATATAGATCAGATCTGTTTTCAAAGATGTGACTTACCAATCATTCCAATAAACTGCACTTTGATACCTGTGTGCTCTAACCGTTTCCCATCCTTAGGCCTAATAGTGACAGCTCCTCTAACTGATTCGCCGTCTTTGTAAAGTGGTACCCTTTCCTTGCTGCTCTTGTTCTTAACTTCCACCGTCTCCCGACTATCTCCATCTTCCAGGACGATATCAATATCGACTGGGGCGGAAAACAGGAACGACATATCAATTATTTATGTATGTAACGTGGGTAGTGAACCTAAACGATCGTTGTGAAGAGCTTCGTGGAGCTTGTTCTTCAAAACTCGCCGTTTCTGGACGAAGACCTTGAGCCACGAAGTCAATTATCTCTTGACCACCGGAGAACTCAATTAAATTCGCTTGGTCAGGCGACTGATGTCCTTGCCTTGAAGATGTCGTAGAAGGGACTTTTGAGTTGGCGCGGGATTCCGTCGTCTCCTAACGAGCTCGTCGACAATCAACAAGGCGTCCTTTTAGTTTTCCCGCGGTTCTCTCTAGTAGTATGTCCTGTAGTTCGTCGACCACCAATTCATCTGTATCTAAATCGTGCGCTTCTTGTTCGTTGATGCGGATAGCCAAGAGTGGTGCGAATCTCCTAAGATCTGCTTTGGATGGCGGTGGGTTGCGTTCCAATAGGACAAGGTACTGAATAGCAAGTGGCATGTACTTGTCGGACACCGGAGTATCTTTTGCCCGAGTTCCGTCCAATGGAAAGTTATCCGCCTTTCTTGATAGTTGATGATTGAGGTTTAAAGCTTTGGATTCTCCCAAACAATAACCAACTTTACCTGTCCAGTTCCCCGACTAAGCAGAACTCGAATTCCATTCCCCAAAAGTGATCTGATTCTTCGAGCCACACTTCCACTGCCAGCCACAACCGCTACATCATTCCTCACAGCAGCACTCTGCTGTGAGCCCCAGCTCCAAAATGTCACTCTCTAGCTATGTAAATAGTAAGTATCCCCCTCCTTTCACCACTCTTACCTCTTTAACTCCGTTTCTGTCACTCCCATACTCGTTGCGATTATAAAAACATGCAAGACTTACAACCGCATCCTAACAGCTCCTTAGAGAAAGTTCTGATCTTAACTGCGGATTCGAGAACGCTAGTTGGTACACTATTGAGTTGCGATCAACAGACTAATTTGGTATTTACACTCTGTCCTTCATTTCCCCTCTTTTCTCCTCTCTACTTTCTACTTTCTAACTAAAATCCAGGTCCTATCCCAAACCATCGAGCGCATAATCCGACCTCCAGAAGACCCCGAAGCCTCCAGCGAAATCCCACATGGTCTCTATCTAATCCGCGGTGATAATGTTGTAGTGGTTGGATTAGTGGAAGAGGAGTTGGATGATAGTATTAATTGGGTAGAGGTCAGGGGGGCGGTCATTGGGGGGACGAAACACTCGTGATTGAACGTTCGTAATTAGGTGTGCGTTTCTGGATGGAAGGAATAGTCGAACGAGTAACTGAGAGAGAAGATGACCGAGGGAAAAAGGGGATCGGAGGAAATGCCGAGAAGGTACCAAAATTTGGCATATACAAAAGTACGGATGGACGTGCTTGCGAGGTGGGTAGAGTGATACTTATGCTGCACTGTTTGGCGTTAGATGGAGTGACATATTAAAAGGGATCTTTTATATCCATCTTTTCGACCTTGTGTTGGCTGGGGGGAAAGCTGAAGCGAATGTATGTCACACAAAATCTACTCGACTAGATTTCGAGATCACATCATAGGATTAGTCAAGACGCAATTAGAAGGCATGAAGGCTGTTTTTCAATGGCTCAAAGCTCTATTCTCTAAGTTCAATGCCTTCTAAGTACAACGTTAAACTTTAACCAACGTGATGATATCTGCTGTAATCCAAAGATACCAGGTGATCCAATCCAGATTTTATCCAAAAACTCTTTCCAAAAGGTAAGGTCCAAAAGCTGCCTCTCCAGGAGTTCCAACGATTCTGTTGACTCTGTTACCTTTATGATCACTAAGCCAGCCACCATTATCTCCAGGCTCGTCGGCTGTAATGTCGATTTCGTTGTTTACATGAACAACGGTAGCATTGCTTTCCATAGGGTCTCGAATATCCACAGCTCCAGGGCTTTCGACTTGTACTGCTCCCTTCTTCCTGGTTCGCCTATCAACGATATGCATACCTCGAGTCCATTGACCAGAGGTCTCAACTCGAATATCCTCGGGTCCACTTGGGAAAGTCATCCAGGCAGGGGATGCACGTGTTAGCATGTACCAGATACAAAGAGGGTCATGCAATTCGAGACCTGGATCTATGGACGAATCTCTGCCAAGAGAATTGACTTTCTCGTAAGTCTTGTGTACAAAAACAGATGTCCACTCTGCGAGGGGACTTCCGGCTTTGATTAGAGGGTCTAATTTTGCTTGAAAGTCTGATCTTTGTAACTGATGTGGAGTTGTAATATCCAGAGGGAATAACGTCAAGTTGAGTCGCCTGGAAAGATTCTTGGGATATGGTGGAAGAGTTGTCTTATTCAAAGGTACAGGAGGCATGGTAGTGATTGGGCTTGGAGATGTTAGGGCGAATACTCTGGCGGTTGCGACAGCATCTGCATATGTGTTGAATTCGGCGACAGGTGTAATGTTACCCTTCACATCAATCGCACCGCCCATTACCACAACCTCCTTTACTCTCAAAAATGTTTCTGGGTCTTCCGCGGCAGCCAAAGCAATATTGGTTAATGGTCCAACACAGACAATTGTGATAGTATCTTTAGGATTTTCTCGAAGTAGACGTAGCATTTCCTTGTGGGCAGGAACTTGTGAAGCTGTGAATGATGGTGATGGGGAGGCAAGAAGACGGGCTTCGGCGACTTCTTCAGCGGTGGCATTTGCAGCAGGGGGCTCGAAGAGTGTCTTCCACGTATCGGCAGGGGAGAGATGTGGATGCTACGAAGTTTAAGTCAGCTGGCAGTTTTAAGGAGGGGTAGAAGTATCTTACACTTGTATGAACACCACCAAGACCATCGATGCCATCTATTGTCAAAATTAGTTTATGCTCCAGAGGAAATTGTTGCTGAAGTTCCTACGAAAGTAATCTGCCATAAGCATTTCATCCTCGAGTGGGTGATCTGCGCCAACAGCCACTATAGGCTTTGACTTCTTCATCGCATCGAAGCCCTCAAGTTGGCCACGCTCTTTTCTCCATTTGAATTCCTGTTCGATGACATGGAATAATGCTACACAATTCTTCAGACAACTTTACAATCGATCAGTAATGTTATTGATGAACAGGAGATATTTTGATTTCAAACTTTACCTTTCAACTTCGACGTTTCCATATGTTATAGAAATCATCAAAATATCAAGCTCCTCTGGTTTAGCAGCTAGGGCTAACATAATGGCCAGAACATCATCGACTCCTTTTGGCTACGAATTAGGTTTATGGTCCTAACATAAAAAGCAATAATGATCTTACCAGGATCTGTATCAATAATGACACGGTTCAGAGACATATTGACTGAGAGTGAAGTTACTTTTTCCTGGTTTCTCTCTCTGTATCTCTGTATGTAAGGAAGTTGGGCAAGATAGATAGAAGCAAAGCAAATAAGAATAAAGAGTGTGGTTATAATTATGAGAAGAAGATTCTCGATTTCAATACTTGGTACCAGTAGTCTAATGATATTCTGCTGAACTTATTTGTTAGTGAATTCAAACTACTAGTACTTGAGTATAACATTATCTATACTGGTATACCGCAATAATGATTCACCCCCCATCTTTATCCAATAGGTAATCGTTATATCAGCAAAGGATCCATATCGGAAGTTCGGAAGTAATTGATCCGAAGATCAGCTTACTTTAATTGGTTACGCTTGAGGTGACGCTAGAAAACATGGGGAGCTCCAATAATGATTAACCTAGTAGGATTGACCGGACGACTTGTAACTTTACTTTAGAGGCCACATCTCGACAGTTTTTCCCAAGTCATACAGTCATACGGGTCATACGGTCATAGGATTGACGATCATCATAATATTTCGATTCATAAAAGAAGCACATCGTTTCTCTCTTTTCAACATTCTCTTTCACGAATTGTCATCTCAACAATTAATTGAATAACCTCAATTCAATTCAATTCAATAGAGGCGGAAGTCATCCATCCATCAAGCTTCCCCTGATGTCCCAATAGGCCGACCGACCCCCATTCGAGAGAGCTCGAGAGCTTGGTTACGACACCACTTCGAAATTTAAATATCTGCGGTTTATCCATCATGAGTAACACGAGTCTTATCACTACTGCCGTCGGCTGGACTATTGTCTTCGGCGCGGCAGGTGCATACTATATGATCAACTCGAAATCTAAGAATAAAATTAAGCCCCAAACTGCCATTAAGCAAACGAGCAAGGTTGTTGAAGATCGCAAAGAGCCAAAGTCCAAGAAATCCAAGAAGGATGGTGGATTGAGCAGTGGTGATCAGGACAACAAGTCTTCTACCAAAGCTACCAAAGCTGCAAAGAAAGCTCCTGCTCCACAGAAAACCGAGCCCAAGCAGGATACTGTTAAGCCTGTCGCCGATGACTCCGATGATGACAACGATATTGATGCGGAGAATAACCGCAAATTCGCTCTTCAATTCGCCAAAACTCAGGCTGGTACTCAATTCTCTGGTAAATCTTCTACAACTGCAACTCGTCAAAAGTCTGTCAAACAATCTCGCGCACAAGAAAAGGCAATCAAGGACTCTGGAAATATCACTGCTGGCGATGCCGACGATGATCAATCCTTCACTGATTCTCCTGAAGTCGGCCCAACTAGCGTTACTTCTCCCGTCTCAAGTGGTATCGCTGATATGCTTGAACCTGCTGCTCCTGGTCCATCTGTTTTGAAAGTCACTGCACCCACCAACCCTAAGCCAGCTAAGAAGGAAACAACTAAAGCTGCTCCTCAACCAGCCGAAACTAAGAAACAAAGACAAAACCGCGCCAAGATCGAAGCTGCTAAACTCGTAAGAGAACAAGAAGAAAAGGAACGCAAGGTCAAGGAGGAACAGCAACGTCGTACCGCTAGAGAAGCCGAGGGTAGAGCTGCCAAGGATGGCAGTCAATTCATGGCCTCCCAACAACCTACTGACTCTGCTTGGACTGCCTCCCCTGCTGCCAATGGATCAAATGCTTCTGGCGTCAACACTGGCAAGTTCGATTTACTTGACACCACCGAGGATAACACCAACAAGAAGGTTAACGCTGCTGCTCCAATTGAGAACTTCTCGGAGAGCGAAGTTGTAGGCAGCCAATGGCAAGGGTATGGGGGTGATTATGATGAGAGTATCAAGACTGTCATTGAAGATTCTCGTGAGTGGGAACAAGTTCAAAGCAAGAAGAAGAAGATCAAGAAGGAGAAGAAAGAAAGCAACGAGACGGAGGTTGCTGGAACTACCAGCTCAACTGATGAGAAAGATTACACCATTCCACCAAAGACTGCTAGAAGTGGTCCAGGACAAAAGTGGACTGCGGATCTCACTTATGTCGACAAGGATGATGTTGTACATGAGGTTCAAAAAGAAGTTCAGGATTCTGAATGGGTGGTTTCATAACCACAACAATCTATCGCCGTCATTTAGTTTTTCAAGATTAAAAGCTTTTAATCTTGACATTGATCTGCCATCACCAGATTCGATTTCTACATTCTTGTATTCTCGTGGCGTTTGAGCCTTCCTTCACATGTACATGGTGATATTCGGGGAGGGAGGGTTACTTTTGACTGCATAGGATCTCAATGACTTCTCCAAAGTCTTTGCATAGGTATCATGGATGGATGGTGGGCATATTGCATAGGTTGATGCACACACTTTTATTGAAGTTTTCCGAATTATTTTGATTTGATTGGCAATGGCAATGGCGTCCATGGTAAATTTTTCTGATTCAAATGAAAACTGGGGTCAAACAAAAATACAAAGTGTTTGTTTACATTTACTTTTGTCAATTTAACACATCTTCGAGGTCATGGCAATGATCATAATCAAATGTACCGATAAAATTGCTATCTACCTAGGTCCTCGATGGATTCTAGTCAGCGATTCATAGATAGATAATTGAACATGATCTCAAAAAACTTGGTTAAATCTCGAGCAATCAGTAACAATATATCTGTAAACTGTAGTAACTCATTTATGTTTCATCTAATTATCATATACTTTTCTGGATGACGAGATCAATTATGAGGTGCATATATAATCATAAGAAGGGCCACATGTGAAGGGATTTACTCGAGCAGCTTTCTGAAATGGCTATGATTTATATATAGTTTGTATCAACGCCACACACACATCCGTGCTGATGCCAGTTCTACGGGATTAACTCCACACAAAAAAGGCTTGATTTCATCTCATAACGCTCATCTCAACAATCACCAAGCTCTACAAAATCAGATAAAATGTTCCTAGTATCAAAAATTCCAACGCAAAGAAAATCAATACTCCTTCAAGCTGATATCTATATGCATATGCAATATCAGGGGGGTGGTTATTCATAACTCAGTGGCTTGGCACCGCAGTAACGCAGGTAAATGGGTGAGGCTGAAGATTTCATGGGTTTTCATCTCATGGGTTGTTCAAGGTTCACCAAGATTGGGGGCCGAGAGTTAAGTTTATGTTTTGTGTTGCCATTCATTGATGTTGCTGTTGTGCAATGTTATCGTTATTTTGCATATATATTGCGTTAAATTCTTGTCTCTTTTGTTTTTGCGAGAATCTTCAAGGAAAGGCAGGTTGAGGTGTGAGGTATAATGAAATGTTGATTTGATAAGGGGTTTGAGTATTATTTACGCATCTTAGATTGAGAGGTTTTTATGTGAAAGAGAAGAATCAGGGGACGAGGCTGAAGCTTCAGAATTATGTCGGGGTTTGATCAGCTCAGTCAGAATGTCTTTGGGCTGGTGGCATTGATTGTTTCAGTGATCGCACTTTTGACGACTTGTTTGCAGGTGCTGCAGCAGTATTTTTCAAGTGCGGAAGGGTATCGAAGATGTGCGGAATCGGTAATGGGGCCGTGGAATAAGGGGACGCATCGGAAGCTTAATATGAAGGAATTTCGAGTCGAGGTGGTTTTCGAAACTCCGGTTATATTCATCGCACCTCCGAATAACCCAAGAGGACCAATTATAAATAAGCCCATCTTCTATCTCGATGGCACAAAGCAATCATACCACGATACCATGGTACTCGAACCGGACGAACAAGAGAAGACGGATAAGGAGGCGGTCCAGCGTGTTCACACAGCAGATGATGAACGAGCATCTTGGGTTACGTTGTTGTCAAATTTACAAAAGAAGGAGCGGGACTCTCGAATTTGGGATAAGGGGCGTCGACTTGAAAAGCTTCCAAGCCGAGCCAAAGCACCCACGTACGAACTTGCCGTAGGCTTACAAGTCAAAACCAGATCTTGGGATTTCGTCCCGGCCAGTATCACTAGGCCATATGCAACTTCTGCCATCTGTCATCTGGTTGAGATGATGGCCTTGATGGGCATGTATTGGAAAGTTTTTGACCAGATACTGTGGAACCTAAGAGCGGAAGGGAATGGTTTCATTCTTACCTCAACTACTGTCCATGGATTGGGAGTTATGGTTATATTTAACGTGACGGGAAAATCGAAATTTGAAGAAGACCGGGTCATTCCTTCTGCACATATAAAGGAACTGTGCTTTGGAACTGTCCCCAACATATTTGAGGAAGAATCATATCTGAAAAAGGAAGATCCAGAATCTCAAAATTTGACTTTGAAGTTTGGGTGTCAAGATGATGTGGAATTGACTTTGGAGTCTCTTGGGTGTACACCTCAAATACTCACGAGGTACAAGAAAGATCACAGACATATATTTCCAGGTGAGTTTTACTTATTATCCTATCAAGAATGTGTTTTTGATCATCTAAATAGTCTCTTTCGAGATAATTGGTATGCTTGGGCAAGTAGTTCGGCTTCGGGGAAGCAATTTTAGAATGATACCCAACCCAACCCAGGATCATTGGTTAAAGAAAACCGGCACAAAGCCTTCTTGGAAAATCATTAAACTTATGGCAGTATTTCAAAAGAAACTCCTCGGACTTTCCGAGGTCGAGGACTATGGCAACAAATCTCTCGAGAAACATCCAATCTCTAAAATCATCGAACAATGGCAAGAAATTGAAGCTCTCGGCTGTATAGATGAATACAACCTTAGCATCGATGCCCGAGAAAAGATTCACGATGCTCTCGATGGAATGACGGGTTTTCTACTCGAGACTAGGCAAGCGGATGTTCTCAAAATTTTGGTAGCTCATCTCGACGAAGTAACCAAAGTTCTCGTCGTGACTGATTCTCCCCTCAACTCCATTGTTTCGGTTCACAAGGAAGAGCCACTACTCGATTACTACTTTAACACGATCCTCCCCAAGGTCACAGGGAATTCTATTGGGCATGAGAAAGAGAAGAGACAAATTATATGGGTTTCCTTGATGTTCAGAATGTTATGTTGGTTTTTACTACATGATTGGAATAAAGATGATAAGTGTGAAGTTCCTCCGGATTTGAAGGGAAGCAGAATGCCGGTGTTTATTGGTTGATAGTGGGGAATTAATTAACTCAAGGGTACTACGAATGGAAGGAAGAGATGGATGATTTGAAAATGTGGAGGATGTTGACTTTTATAGTTTCCTCGGATCTTCTTGTAAGCTTCTGTTCTTGGTAGCGTTCGAAGTATATGGTTTTGGATATGTATGGCGCTATTTAGAGGATCATAGTACTCACATCATTTTTGTAGATATACCCATGGAGCGAAGCGTAGCATGCGTGGTATTTGAATATGAAAAGATTTCGATTTTTTTCGACTCCCTTTGGTTTCTTCAAATGAACTTGATAACCCGCGTCAGGATGGCCATACTATAGCCATCCAGCTCTCACTAATCATTCACCAAATAGTTCTTTATCAACCACACAATGTCTCGCCATCTCAAACTGTTCATCCGTCCGACAAACCAACGTCCGATGCCTCGCCCCCTCCTTCCCCACATCCTGCACCACTCCCCTCATCTCCCTCCCATTCGCCTTTTCATCAATCTCAAACCCCAAACACCCCACCTCCTCCACCACCCTCCTCCTCAAGACCTCGCTCTTCTCCCCAATCCCCCCTGCAAACACCAACGCATCGACATTCCCATGCAGTGATACATAATAATGACCTATGTAGCTCAAGATTCGATCCACGAATATATCAAATGCGAGTTTCATTTTGGGGTCCGGAGAGCTGGAACAGGCGGATGTGGTTATGGTGGCGAAATTCGTGGTGCCGGTTAATGATTTCCAGCCGGATTCTTTGTTGAGGATTTCTTCGGCGCGGGATATGTGTAGGGAGGTGGTGGAGTTGGGGGAGAGCTTGCCGACGTTGGTGGCGTAGTGGAATACTAGGCTTTTTTTGTGTATATACTCATTAGCACTTTCTCCTATATATATATGCTCATTCCCCAATTGACGTAGATGAGGAGACGAAAAGAAGGACTATAATAAAACATACCTAGGATCCAAACTCCCACTCCTAGTCGCCCCAGGTAATCCCGCTAACGGCGTCAACCCCATACTAGTATCCCAACTCTTCCCCCCCTTCACTGCACACGCGCTCGCTCCACTCCCCAAATGCAACGCAATAATATTCGTCTCCGCCTCCTCCTTGCCCAGAAACTCTGCTACGCTGCGCGTGATAAACGCATAGGATATCCCATGAAACCCATATTTTCGCAACCCGTTCTTGCGCGCAATCGTTTGATTAATGGGATATGTGGAGATATGGGCGGGCAGCGAAGCATGGAATGCAGAGTCGAATACGGCGATGTTGCGGGTGGAGGGTAGGACGGATATGCAGTGGGATATTATGGAGAGTGCGGAGGCGTTGTGTAAGGGAGCGAGATCAGAGAGGGCTGAGAGGTGTTGGTAGGTTTCGTGGGTGGTTAGTTTGCTGGTTTGGTAGTCCCCGCCGTGGACGACGCGGTGGCTGGCGAGGGATATGTCGCTGACGTGGGTGATTTGTGGGAAGGAAGAATCGTGCAGGAGGAGGTCGAGGAGGTATTGGAAGGCGGCTTTTTGATCGGGAATGTCTTGGGTGAGTGGAAGGTGTTTGTGGATAGAGGTTCCAGAGCGCATGTAGGTGAGGGTTGGGGGTGGGGAGGTGAGTCCGTCGATTTGGGTTTCGGCGAGGGGGGTGGGTGGTTGGTCGCTGCTGGTGGCGGAGAAGACGGAGATTTTTATAGAGGAGGATCCGGAGTTTATGGAGAGGATGATTTTAGTCATGGTGAGTGGTTGGGTGGAATCGTGAGAGTTGGAGGATGAAATGGAATGCAAGAGTGTATTGAGGGGTATTAAAGGTGCGATTTGGTTTATTGACCTGATGGTGGTTTCTTCAGAATTGGTGGTCAAGTTTGGGAATGTTGGATGAATGGAAGAATGATATGATGGTATTCAGATCTTCAAGAGTAATTAAAAATTAGATATAGTATTTAAGTAACAATCATAAGCTTTCAAAATCTTCCAATCTCGTCCCATCAATCACGCATGCAAACAAAACGAATGACGTTCATAGGAGTTCCCCGCCATAACTCGAGTATTCTTATCGAAGCCGAGACTTGGGGGCTTATCGATTGGTTCTTATAGTGATTACAGGGGTCTAAGCTTCTCAATGGGCTGTGAATACAGGGGTGAGAGCCTATCAATTACAGGGATTCGAAGCTCTAGAACTGATAAATTTCTCACGCTGTGAATGTGAGAATGGAATTGCCACTTTCTTGTTTGGGTTTGAGGACTTTGAAGAATTGTCTTATACTGAGTAGCGAGTGTCTGTCGAATTGAGATGAGAGGGCTGAATGAAGTGAGGGCTGAGTCGATACTACACAGACATACAGACAGACATACGGCTCGTATTTCATGAATATCCGAATCATAAAGGGGTATGACATCATGAAGACTACCTGACCTTTCTCTGCTGATAAATACTCTACTCAGAGTAGAGTACCTAGACCATTCTTGTGGGATATCATTATCAACCAATTGCATTAATCAACGAGTAAAAGCTCATATATCTTCTAGAACTTGTACCAGAAGTCGTTACATTAACCTAGTAGTAGACTGTAGTTGGACTTATCTGATTCTTCTTCACTGGTATGAATGTGACGGGATGTGACGCACTTTCCTTTGTTGTAGTGAAGCTTGATTTGTGTTTAGGAAATAGTTAGAGGGAAAGCGGTAGTGGTAGCTATAGATTTTCAATTCCATTCTACAGTCTACATTCTACATTCTACATTCTTCAACTTATACTCTTAATCTTCTCTCTTTTACTCAATTATTCACTCTTCTGTCTTCTGTCTCGGTGTATCATACTTGAATTCCTGCTTGAATATCAAGGTCACCTTTGACATCATATCTTGATTGAAACAACAAAGCCAAAACACTACGACTCAACAACGGCCAACGACCAACGACGACCAACGACCAACGACCAACGACCACAACCACAACCACAACCACAACCACAACCATCGTAAACTCAAAGTACACAAGAACCACAAAAAACAACCGCAAATATGCCCGCAGAAATCATTGATAGACCAAATCCTCAAGCATTGGCTTCCAATATACCAGGTTCGGTAACGGTAGATGAGTTATCAGTCAAGTTGGAGAAGTTACAAATCCCCGATAATGATCTGAGAAGTCTTGAGGAATTTCGCAGAGCGAGCAATTATATCTCTGCTGGTATGTAATTATTCCAACTATTAGAGTATTCAAACTAAAAGTTTCAAGCTATGATTTTCCTTTCAGATAATGCTTATTTGGAAAGAGATCTTACTTTTGATGATATCAAACCAAGACTTTTGGGTCATTGGGGAACATGTCCTGGTCTTACCTTAGTCTACGCTCATCTCAATTACCTTACCAAAAAGAATGATCTTGATATGATCTATGTTGTTGGTCCGGGTCATGGAGCTCCAGCTATTCTTTCTTCCCTCTGGCTCGAAGGTACTCTGGCAAAATTCTATCCTAAATACTCCAATAATAAGCAAGGCCTTCATAACCTGATCACCGGTTTCAGTACCCCAACTGGCTTTCCTTCTCACATCAGTGCCGAAGTTCCAGGTTCCATCCATGAAGGTGGAGAGCTTGGATATGCTCTTTCGGTAGCATTTGGTGCTGTGATGGATAATCCTGATTTGGTTGTTGCATGTGTAGTTGGTGATGGAGAAGCTGAGTCTGGTCCAACAGCTACTGCATGGCATGCGGCTAAATATATTGATCCTGCTGAATCTGGTGCGGTTATTCCGATTGTTCATGTCAATGGATTTAAGATTTCTGAGAGAACTATTTATGGTTGTATGGATGATAACGAGATGGCAACTTTGTTTACTGGTTACGGTTATCAATGTCGATTCGTGGAGGATTTGGAAGATATTGTAAGTTGGGTGCTCAGATCCCACAGATTCATGCTAATCGTACCTCAGGATCGTGATATGGCAACAAGCATGCAATGGGCTCTCGATGAGATTCGTAAAATTCAAAAAGCTGCTAGATCTGGCAAGCCCATAATGAAACCAAGAGTATTTTCCACAATTCTCACACCTAAGTTTACCTACTAATATCAAACAGTGGCCAGTCATCATCATGCGTACCCCTAAAGGATGGAGTGGACCAAAGATTGTTGATGGGGAATTTGTCGAAGGATCATTCCACTCCCATCAAGTCCCTCTCATGACCGTAAAGTCCAATAAAGATCAACTAGCCGACCTTCAAAAGTGGCTTCTCTCATACGGACCCGCCAAATTATTCACAGAGTCCGGCGATGTAATCGACTCTATCAAGAACATCATACCACCCGAACACAAAAAGCTTGGACAGAGACCAGAGACATATAAGAATCATGAAGTATTGAAAGTACCAGATTGGAAGAATTATGGTGTTGAAAAAGGAACGGAAGTTTCTTGTATGAAAGCTATTGGTGATCTCATTGATCAAACTTTGGTTGATAATCCCAAATCCCTTCGTCTATTCTCTCCAGATGAGCTTGTCAGCAATAAACTCGATGCAGTATTCAAACACACTGGACGTGATTTTCAGTGGGATGAATTCTCACATGCTCAAGGTGGAAGAGTCATTGAGATTCTCAGTGAACATACATGTCAAGGTTTTCTTCAAGGTAGATTTCTTTCATCTCCTCATACGTCTTTTTATTAATCAAAGTTTAGGTTATACCCTAACTGGTCGAACTGGAATTTTCCCCTCCTACGAGTCCTTCCTTGGTATCATTCACACCATGATGATTCAATACAGTAAATTCAACAAAATGGCTCGCGAAACCCGTTTCAGAGCTAATCTCTCATCTCTTAATTACATCGAAACAAGCACCTGGACCCGCCAAGAACATAACGGGTTTTCCCACCAAAATCCTTCATTCATCGGTGCAGTTTTGAACTTGAAAGCCACAGCTGCTAGAGTTTATTTACCACCTGATGCGAATACCTTTCTCTCAACAATCTCTCACTGCCTCAAATCCACCAATTACATAAACCTAATGGTTGGATCCAAACAACCTCAACCCGTTTTCTTGAGTCCCGAAGAAGCAGATAAACACTGTCAAGCCGGTGCTTCGATTTGGAAATTCTGCAGCACAGATGATGGTCTTGATCCCGATGTCGTTCTCGTCGGTATCGGTTCCGAACTCATGTATGAAGTGGTGGCAGCCGCTGCCTTACTCCGCAAGAAATGTCCCGAATTAAGAATCCGAGTCGTCAACGTGACGGATTTGATGATTCTCGAAACCGAGACGTTACATCCGCATAGTTTGACGAGAGACGAATTCGATAGTTTGTTTACAGAGGATAAACCCGTTCATTTTGATTATCATGGCTATAGTAATGAAATCAAGGGATTACTCTTCGGAAGACCTAATTTGGAACGAATGAGTATTGCTTGTTATAAGGAAGAGGGATCCACGACGACACCGTTTGATATGATGTTGAGGAACGAGGTTAGTAGGTATCATGTTATGGAAGCGGCGATAAAAGGCGGTGCAAAGGGTAATAAAAGAGTGGCGTTAGAGATGACGGGTTGGTTGGGGGAAATTAGAAGTTCGAGGAGTAGAGTTGCGGAGTATATTTTGAAGAAGGGAACGGATCCGGAGGGGACGTTTGATACGCCGAGGTTTGAGGGGACGGCTTTTGGGAAGGATGTAGAGAAGGGGAAGGGGAAGGGGAAGGATGCGGGTGCGGAGGAGGGATTTTTTGTTAATTGATGGATGGGTGTGGGTATGGGATGGAAGGGGGTGGATGAGATTGATAACTAGGCTTCAGGTTGTAACTTATGGATGATGTTGAAATGAAATGAGATGCTGAGATGAGACGAGCTGAAAAAGATAAAAGAAAAGAATTAATGAATATGAATGTGCTTATACAACTCTATCACCCCCTGTGCCAACCCCTTGATCTTATTTATATCTTTCATCCCATTCCCATATCTTTCATTCCCTATCTCTCATCCTGCCCCCCCCTCCACCCCCACATCTTACTCCCCATCCTATTCTATCCTCTCTAATTCCTTATCTCTCATTTCTCATCCTTCATATTACATCAAGAATAAAGAGTCAAGAATAAAGAGTCAAGAGTCAAGAGACAAAAGTAGATTTCTATGTTATGATTTGTAATTCTTCGTTCTAATGGTTGGTAATGAGATGATATGAGATAATTTAATATAATATGAGATGGATAGATATGTATATATATTATATTATCCTGCAAATATCGGGATATATATGTAATATACTCGGATAATTTAAATTTAGTAGGATTCTGGTATGATGGTTATTGTTTGAATAGAATGAGATAAGATGGATGGGATGGGATGGGATGGGATGGGATAGGATAGGAAAATAGGACGGGAAGGATAAGATGGGATTAAAGAGGGTAAAATGGGATGGAATGGGATAATAGGTTATCATCATATCATCCCGTCCCGTCCCATATCATTTCATACTATTCAAATTAGTATTAGTATTATCCATCTTACCTTTCACAGCTTTAACTTTAAATCTCATTCTTTCCTCCCTTCTCTACTCGAGTATTTCTCTCCCTCTCCAACTTACTTAGTTCATAGCATTTCATCCTTTCATTCATCCATTCATCCATCTCTCTTACCCCTACATCCTCCACCCTCAACCTTCAAAGCCAAAGCCCCTTCAAATTTCCCTCACTCTATCCTCTTCTGAGCACCCTCAACCACTATGCCTTTCCTCTTCTAAAATATAACATCTACCAGAAATTCACTTTCTTGATATTTTACATGATTCAATCCGAGCCATAGGCCCAATTGATTTATACACTCTATTAATAGTACTCATATTTCAGAACAAGCATGATGATAATAGAATCGAATTTCATAATGCAAACACTTAGTTTGAACTCTCTCACACCTCTCCACTCCCCTCCCCCTTCTCTTGAGCGCATATCCTATCCTATCCATCTTCAACAAGCTCCCCAATCCCCCATAGAAATCAGCTCCAACCCTATATAACCTAGTATTGATTGATCTACTATATCTAAACTCCATCTATCTGCCATAGATTAAGGTTCCCATTGTATAGCGCAATTCTAATCTCCTGGTACCTTATCTTGAACCATCTGTAATGTATATCTAACGCAAAGGCTTATGTATATTATAACCAGAAATGGGAGGGCAAGTACAGGCTACAATTTTCTCAGATATCTTGCTCACATGATGGATGATTTACCCGAATAGCCTGAGGGGAGAAGTCGCGCTACTTGTCAGACGCTCGCTAGTGGAAGCGAGATTTTTCACTTACTAACTTTTACCCCTTCTTCTGATTTTCGAGTGAAAATGATATTGTAGATGATACCTTCAACAGGTTGCTTGTCATAGGCGCATTTTGCTGCAACAGCAAACGGTATGACTGCTGCTCAATTACTCGTAGAAGAAGCAGTACATAGAACTCCGCAAATTACTAATTCTTTCCACAGTAGATTATACACATGACTTGCTTCTCTAGAAGCCACCCATCCATTCCTTTCCAAAGAGATGCAAGATTATGCGTCCATAAACGGCAGTTGCCAGAGCTTTTGAGATAAATTCCCTAGTTTTTGGGTATAAAATTCATCGGTTCTAGATCATCTGGCATTCCTATCACTTCCAAGTAGATTGGTTGATTTTTATACAAACTATACAATTCATTTCCAACCACTTGCCTTTCAAATTCTGCATTGTGATTCGTGTTCGTGAATATTTTCTATGTGATTATATATATGTATTGTGACTTTTCTCTTCCCTTTTCTCTTAAATAAGTACATTTCAATCACTTTACTCTTGAACTTTATTCAAACTCTGAATACACATTACATTACATTATAAACTCCCTCGAGCATAACTAGGTAGCCTTCGCAGATTCGTAATCGATTTCAAACCGATACCTTTGTCCATTTCCTGCCTATCGTTCAATCGTATCCTCTCCCCTCATTCCACTTCCACCTCGGCTCTCCACAGCTTTATACAAACCAGATTGATGAATGATATAAATAATAGATGTGGAAACAAGGCACACTAGTATCGTACGGAGACACTGGTGTAAGATACTATATTTGCAGATCAATTGTAGCCACACCTTGTTGATAATATAATACTGCACTCGCAGTCTCGGATATCGTGCTAATATAAATTGTATAATCCAAGAACAGGGCGATTATTCGAAGAGATATCTGCATTTCAAAATATTTCAGAATAGTAGACTAAATCACAGTTTGGGGCAAGATTATTCTGACCAGAGAGAGATAACTACTAGGTCTGGCAAATTATGGAAATAGCTTCATATATACCTGTTTGGTTGGCTTGGTGAGTGTAAGACCCGTCTTACTTCTCTGCAATTACAACAAGAATTTCTTCTCAATGTATTGTAGCTTCAATTTTAATGACACGGTTTGAGGATTCGGAAACGGGAGAGATTCTGGAGATTCATGTGAGTTAGGATTGGTTTGTTCGACTGTGACTTCCTCAACTGCTTTGACTCAACTCCCTTTATATCTACTAAGAGTATAAGCAGCTCCCTCTTCATGGCACACCTCTTCAAGTTTTTCTCACTTCTCCCCGCCATCTCTTTGTAAACTATCAAATTCCCCATTCCATACTAGACTACTCGGGCGGGTCTTTGAAGAGGCATAGGCAAAAATTAAAATAGCTACCGCTAGCTTAGTTTTCTATGAACTTCTATAACATTTAATAAAGTGAATAATCTAATACTAAAAAACTAATGTACCAAATTTTATCCAGATATATCATAATTCGATATAATTATAATCAATTCAATTTAGAGAATATTAATAAATATCGAAATTTTGAAGATTATTTTCAAATGATTATTTTCTTATCAAAAATGAATTTTGTATTATAAACATAGATTAATTTAT